GGGGCTGTGTTCCTGTCTTGCTAGTTGTTTTGGCATGGGGTGTCCAGCAGTGTAGCTTGCTGGTCATGAGTGGAGCTGGGGCTTAGCGTTGAGATGGAGATCTCTGGGAGAGCTTTCACTGTTCGATATTACATGGAGTCAGGAGGTCTCTGGTGGACCAATATCCTGAACTCGACTTTCCCACCTCAGAGGCACAAGCCTGACAGCCGGCTGGAGCACCAAGACCCTGTCAGCCACATGGCTCAGAAGAAAAGGGAGGAAAGAAAGAAAGAAAATAATAGTAATAAAATAAAGTTATTAAAATAAAAAATTAATTAAAAGGAAAAATTAAAAAGTAATAAAAAAAGAGAAAGAAGAGAGCAACCAAACGAAGAAACAAATCCACCAATGATAACAAGCGCTAAAAACTATACAAAAGAAAAAAGAAAAAAAAAACGGACAGAGAGAACCCTAGGACAAATGGTAAAGGCAAAGCTATATAGACAAAATCACAAAAAGAAGCATACACATAGACACTCACAAAAAGAGAAAAAGGAAAATATATATATATATATTCTGGGAAGTCTGAGGTCTTCTGCCTGCATTCAGTAGGTGTTCTGTAGGAGTTGTTCCACATGTAGATGTATTTCTGATGTATCTGTGGGGAGGAAGGTGATGTCCGCGTGTTACTCCTCCACCATCTTGAAGGTCTATCCTCTAAAGTATTTTTAAAAGTTCTCTATTCAAACAGGTTGTGGGGTTAGCATCTCTATTAAATGGAAATTAAATCATAAATTCAATATTTATTAAGTAATGGAAATGAAAATCTGACATCTAGAGTAGTCTGTTGTTTCTAATATGCAGCAGCTTTGAGGTTTGTCTCCTGATTTGCTGCGTCTGAGCGAGTGAACTAAACCTTCGAATCCCCGTGCTCACATTGACAAGCCTGTGTTAGAATTCTACAGTTACTTCCGCTGAGTCCAGGAACACAGGAACCGCTCGTGTGTAGACAGATACAGGACTAGGAACTGGAAAGCTGCCTGTCCCGAAGTGGGCGTTAGTGTTCGTTTCCTCTGTAACCACTCGCTGGCCCTTGCTTGCTTCCTGCCTCCACCTTTGCATCTCGGACTAACCCACGCCCGCCTCTGTCCTTTCTCCATCCCCTGTGGGGCCTCTGCCAGTGATTCTTGACCTGGACGGGCTCTCTTTCATGCACACAGCTCCCCTGTGACACTGACAGAACGGACCAGAATTCAACCAAGTATGGGAGGCTGGATCGATTACTGGCAGAGAAAGAGATGTGACCAGAGTGGGCTTGCTCCGCGCTGCAAGAGCTGAGTCTCTGTCCTCAGGCCTAAATGGGCTGAATGGGTGCCTGAGGCCGACGTGCGACGGAGGAGCGGCTTCAGTATTGCGGGGGCTGTCACGGAGGGTGGGGTGGGTGTGCAGGAGGGTCTGTCTGATGGTGCCAGACAGAAAGAAGCCTTGAATATGGAGCCCTGAGTGTGTATGACCTCTGCTAGAGCTGTGGATGATAGGAGCGTCCAGTGAAGATTCGGTGAAGAACAGAGTCCATTTGCCAAAAAGATGATTCTCTTCGTTGGTGCTATGAGCCTGGCCCCTGCGCACGTCCCTCATGTCACGCTCGGCGTCTATGCCTAGCACAACTGCACGGGCCCCAGATAAACCTGCTGCTACTTCTTGAAACAGCCCCCTCTTCACCCGCGAGGCCCCACCTCAGCCATCCATCCGGAGCTAATAAGGGTCAGTGCTTTGCCGGGAGCGTTGGGTCGGGAGGGCGGGCTGATGTCAAGTATGTGTTTGGTGGCCTCTGAGCTAATGAATTTGTTGTGTTTTGTCTAATCCATGAATCCATGTTTTTAGCAATCTTAAGTGATATAGATTTTTCAAACCAAGCAGGGTTGTAAAAAGCCCGTTTTCCATTTACTGCTTTTTGTTAGACCACGTTGCCCCAGTAGCTGTCAGGAGAAGACTGGGATCATGTCGCCTCCTTCTACCAAGGTGCTGTCTTAGTGCATTCAGGCTGCGGTAATAAAAATGCCACAGACTAAACAACAAGCGTTTATTTCTCACAGTTCTGGAGGCTGGACGTCCATGACACGGGCAGATTCAGTGTCGGGTGGCGGCCCGCTTCCGGGTTCATAGACAGCGTCTTCTCGCTGTGTCCTCACGTGGCAGAGGCAGGAGGGAGCCCTCCGGGGTCCCTCTGATACGGGCACTGATCCCATCGTGAGGACTCCCTCTTCATGACCTCAGCACCCCCAGAGGCCCCACCTCCTAACACCATCACACTGGGGAATAGGCTTCAGCATGTGAATGGGGGGCAGGGGGCACAGACATTCAGTCTGTAGCAAAGTCTGAGTGGTTAATATCAGGTTAGCATCTCAGGTTCTGCCAGACACTATTCTCTGAAGACATGACCGCGTTCTCCTGGTGTTGAGGATAGATCAGAAGTGTAAACCTGGACCTTTAAATGAGCTGACGCTGTGGGGATCGTGAAGCCTATTGCTACATGTCCAGTGGAGTGACGTGCTCTCCAGTCTCTGACAATAAACCACAGTGACCTCGACCGCGGTTCCAACTCAGCCCAGCAGGATGGCGCGGCGCGCCCAGGTTATGGGCCAATTTCTGGTCTGAGCACGTTGGTTTCTCATCCCCTTCCTGCCAGCCCCGCGTTGGAGAGCAGAATGGTGTAGTCCTCTGCCTTACGGTTCAACAGCGGCTCTAACGCGGACCCGGTAGCTTATTGTCCAGGTGAAGCAGGATTTCTCCCCTCTCCGACGTCATACATGATTCTTCTGGAAAGAGTCAAGGCCACCAACCATGCAGAGCAGCAGAGTCACCAATAAGTCACCACCTTTGAGGTTGTGAAACAAGCTGGTGAGATGATTAAACAGACCGTTCTGGTGGAGAAACAAACTGTAAAGGTCCGTTTATGTTAGCATTTGGTGTGTTTTAAGGTCCATTGGTCCGACCCTGATTTCAAACGCAATCGTTAGAAATAAAGTCAAACTGGGGGAAAAGGATTTCCTCCCCTTCTTAATAGTCTGTGTTTAGCTCATGCCTACTTTTGTCCTCGGGACGCTTTGCAGGTCACGACTGCGTGTCAAGGTTCTGCACTTGCACCCATGTCGCGGTGCCTGCCACCGGGACGACTGTCATGCCGTGGTGACAGAACATGGCCGGGGTATCTGCGTTGCCGTGACTTTTTGTGCCCAGTCAGGCCAAGACCCCTGGCCAGGTGGTGGTGGGAGCGGGTGCTGGTCCCACTGTCTTTGTGCCTGGAGCCCCCGCCCGAGTCGGGCAGGAGGCTGGCTGTGGGCCGCCCCCGCTGCCCCACCTTCCTGGAAGGATGCACGGGGGACACGGGCAGTGCCTTGATTGTTCTTGAGCTCTCGTCGTGCCTCCGAGGGCCCCGAATGAGAGGCGGTGGGGGGTAAGAGAGATGGGAGCTTTGGGGAAGGAGTAGCCGTAAATCAGGTGAGTTGGCGTCCACTCCGGCAGCTCTTTGCTCACCAGCTGTTTCCTGTCCGGCCATGGGAGGAGGCAGGCTGTGCCAATCGGCAGGGCACGATCGGCAGCTGCGGGAAGGGGCACGACCTCCCGCCGCACTGAACCCAGCTTCCCCTCCACGGGGAGGAGCTGTGTGCGGGCTGGGGGCTGCAGCTGGAGGCGAGGTGTTCGTGCTGGCCCGGACCCCGGCCTCCCAGGGCAGAGTCGGCCTGTGCCCTGACAGCACGGGTGCCCAGGGGGAAGGTCATATCGCAAATCGTGGTCTGTGCTGTGACGCAGGGAAGGTGTGTTTCTGTTCCTTAAACAAAATGCTCTCTGCCGAATCACCCACAGGCCTCCATTTTAACATGGGAAGGTTGATTCTTCACTGAAGGAAGCCCACCCGTCGGCTTCTTCTTCAGGCCCGGAGGAGGCCCGTGGGGAGGGAGGAACCAGGGCTTGCCGCTCCTGTCTTTCCTCATCGTCTTTTACGAGTCTCAGCTCAAGCTGCCATCCAGGACCTTCCAGATGATCTTCCTCCTTAAAAGCCCAGAGTGCCACCTCCTTGCCACCCTCCACTGTCATGAGAACACGGGGCTGGCGTGGCTTCCCTGGGGGACTCTCCCAGCGTCCTCGCCGGTCCCTGTCTGCAGAGTGAGGCTCAGGGTGCAACCTTGCAGGAAGCCGTGTCCTCTGGGCACACGGGGTATAATCAATGTCCCACTTTTTAAGGGGAGCTTTTGCTCGTTCACTTCCATGTAATCGACATTGAAGGCCCTCTGAACGCTTCCTCTGTTCCCTCCATGTAATCGACATTGAAGGCCCTCTGAACGCTCCTTATGCCCCGTGAGTGCCGCCGCGTTGGGGGGTTCAGTCCTCCGAGAACAGGACCGTGGGTGATTTTCAAGGTCACTCTGGCTATTGAACGGCCCTGGTTTGTATCGACGTTCAGTCCGGAGAACGTCCAGTGGGTAGAGAAAGACTGGTCATCCCAGCACGGAAATCCAGACCAAAGAGTCCCCTCGTTCGAGGCTGTAAATCAGGTCGTACAAATATGTGACGTAATAATGGAATGTCAGGCCTGTTTCCAGAAACTGGTGCGTGTTTTGTCATGTGCCTCAAAGACGGTGGCTAGAGTGCCTTGGGCCAGCTGTCCAGGAGCGAAACCATTCACAGACACTTAATCTCACGCGCTAGCTCCCTGGTGGCGTGGCCTGGAGCAGGCCAGTCTCCATATCTGGGAAGGAAGGGAGTCAGTACCCTGCCCATCACCAGGATCAAGCCAGGGGCGCTTTGGAAAACACAGTCTGAATTTGAACCTTGGGATCAGAGCTAGAGAAATTGCATTTTTAAATTTTAATGGTGTTTTTAATTTAAAAAAAATACATGTATGCTATTAGCCTTTTTACTTTGCCTTCCTGTTTACACAGAGGCAAAGTAGCGGTCATTTTACCAAATCAGGGTTCCTCAACCTAGACTGAGTTGTGACTCTATTTCCTCCACGACAGGGTGAATCAGTGAAGTACTTCCTGGATAACTTGGACCGGATTGGCCAGCTGGTGAGTAAGACCCCCACCCCAGGCGTCTGTGATCCAGGATTAGAAAACATTTGTGTGGAGACCAAAGCAGCCCAAGCGGTGAGGGCTTTCGCCATCCTCATGAGCCGTGTTTGTGGTGTCAGGTGACTGCAATGCCATTATTGCTCCTAAAAAATTAGCGGTAATTCCTTAATATCAAGTCAGTTTTGAGACGTTCCCAGTTGTCTCATTAGTGTCTTCTTGTGGCTGCTGCTTTATTTCAGTAGTTTGAGTCAACATCCTATTACGGTCCATCCATTGCAACTGGTCCATGGCACTTGGACTTCTTTTATTCTTTAGGTTTCTCCTTCCATCTTTTCCTCCTTTCAGTTTATTTGTTGGAGTAAGTACATTATTTCTCCTGCAGGGTTTCTCGCGTCTCAGTTTTGCTCTTCCATCCCTGCAGTGTTGTTGAAGGTGTTTCTCTCCCCGCTCTGTGCCTCATGAATTGGTCGTTGGCGCTAGAGGCTTCAGCCCTGTTTGGATCTTTGGCAAGGATGATGCATGAGTGCTGGTGTGCAGTAATCACTGGAGGATTGTTAATAGTGCAGGATCAAAGTGGTTTGAGTGACCACAGTTGCCCGTGTGTTGCTAAAGACTTTAAGAGTCCTCCAAGGATAACATATTAAATATATTGCAGGCTAAGTTTAAATAGCGTTGCAAAACCTAAGTTAAGTCAGTTCATAGTAAGGGTTTGGAATGCGTGTGCCCTAGAAGTTAGAAAAACAGAAAGGTAGCTGTGGTGCAGGGAAAAAAAAGATGGAAGTCTCCTGTGGAGAAGAAAGTCGATGAGGTTGCAGTGGGGCCTAACAGTGACGATTCTGATAACCCTTCCTCAGCCTGATGAGCCTTTGTTCATTTTGAAATGAGCTGTTTAGTTCCTTCACTTTTTGTTTCATGGTGAGTTTATATTTTTGTAATTGAAAGTTGCTTCTGGTATTTGGTTCAGCTTCTCTCAAAAGTCACTGTAACTCTCCTTCCTTCCACCCCATCTTTTTGTTCTTGTTTTCTCATGTTCTTCCTCTCCTGAATTTCTCCCTTATCCTATTTTACAGAATTACTTTCCTAGCAAGCAGGACATCCTGCTGGCGAGGAAGGCCACCAAGGGCATCGTGGAGCATGACTTTGTCATCAAAAAAATCCCTTTCAAGATGGTGGATGTGGGCGGCCAGCGGTCTCAGCGCCAGAAGTGGTTCCAGTGCTTTGATGGGATCACGTCGATCCTGTTCATGGTCTCGTCCAGTGAGTACGACCAGGTCCTCATGGAAGACAGGCGCACCAACCGCCTGGTGGAGTCCATGAACATCTTTGAGACCATCGTTAACAACAAGCTCTTCTTCAACGTCTCCATCATCCTGTTCCTCAACAAGATGGACCTCCTGGTGGAGAAAGTAAAGACTGTCAGCATCAAGAAGCACTTCCCAGACTTCAAGGGTGACCCCCACAGGCTGGAGGACGTCCAGCGCTACCTGGTCCAGTGTTTCGACCGGAAGAGACGGAATCGCAGTAAGCCACTCTTCCACCACTTCACCACCGCCATAGACACCGAGAACATCCGCTTCGTGTTTCACGCTGTGAAGGACACCATCCTGCAAGAGAACCTGAAGGATATTATGTTGCAGTGAAGGAGGACGCCCCTCACTCTTGTGGTCCTTCAGCAGCCTCGCCGGCCACAGGCCAGATCTCCCCAGTGCCCCGGAGCGGGTTTCCCGAATCCGTGCCCTCAACACCTGGCTCAGGGATGCCGTGAGGCCTGCCACGCTCTAGGCCAAAGGACGTGACACTTAGATGTTAGCTACTGAATCCTGGGGACTAGTGAAACTACTGAAAATCCAAGCGATCACTTTGGTATTAATGTGTAATGCTTAATAACACAGCTTTCTTTCTTTTTACAGAAACTATTCCTTCTCTGACACAATGTAATCGAGGACTGCGTGTGTGTGCGCGCACACTCTGTCTTTAATGACAGAAACACGAAAACCGACATCTTTGCAGATGGCTTTTCTCTCTAACTCGAGAGTGCTTGGTGAGGAGTGTTGCCGGGGCAGGGGGGGGAGGGTGGTTTGTAGGAGGTGAAGCGTGGGCTGTCGCCACCACTTCCCCAAGGGAGCGTGCTGCCTTTTAAGTCTCTTGTGCCGATGTCCCGAGAGGCCCTGGCCCGGCCGTCAGATGAGAGGGTGGCAGTGAGAGCTGGCAGTGTGGACTTAAGGCCCCACAGCCTGCACTTTCTTCCCGCCCTGCCCCCTTCCCTCTGCACAGGGCAGTGCCCGCTGCCTCTGTGCCCACCCTCCCTGCCCCTCGGCAAAAACTTCAACCAGCTGGCCTTGCAGATGACTCTTCTGTCTTCTGCGTTGTCTCCGACGCTGCAGTCGGCTGCAGGGAGCCTTTCCTTCTTTGGAGGAAGTGGAGAGCTCCTTTCCTCTCAGGGGCTTCCGAGAGCTGGCGGCATTGCTAGCGGAGCCCTCGTTAATGCCCCCGGGCTCCGCGCTGCCTCCTGGTGGCCGAGAATCGAGGTTCTCATCACGGTCTCTTGCTTCTACTAACGTACACATGTAGCAGGAAAAGTGTTGGACGTGGTCTCCTCTGAGTGAAACTGCAGAGGCTGTGAATGTCGACGCGAGCTGGTCAATCTTACACTCAGTTAACTTGTCCGGTTACTCTGTCCAGGTGTCTTTCACTGTGTTTAAAAATACATTGCATTCCAAACTGGTCCCCGCTGTGTATTACTCTACTCAAAAGTGTCTGGCGTGTTGAGGACCCTGCCTAGCATTTAAAAGAGAAAAAAGCTTCCTCTGTCAGTGGCACCAGAATGTTCCTGTGGTTGAGTAACCGTCCCCAGGCCCCATCCCCAGGCCACACTGTTCCCGGTCCTGTGTCCCTGGTGAGTGGCTTGCTTGCCTTCACCCAGCAGATAAACAGGGATCTTGTGGCAGATGCTGGCCCAGGAGGAAAGGGAGGAAAGAAACTGCTTCTGAGTCAGCCTTGTTATCACAGGGTTTTAATGAGGAGACGACATGAAATCCTGTCTCTCTGGGCGCTCGAGGCTTCCTGTCGATGTTCGCTGGGGTTTCGGCTTTTTTTTTGGCTGGAGAAAAGTTGCTGTTTTTGTACTGCTTCCTGTGGCTCTTCATAAACTGAGAGGGCGAGCCCTGGGATCGGGGCCGATGACCGAGGCCGAAAGAAAAAAGAACATTCTCAACGGGCTGCGTCCGGGCGGCCCGAGACCCCGCCGTCGCTGCTCAGAGGACCTGTCCTGGGGCACGAGCGCTCCTCGCCCGCCGGGTTCCAGGTCTCGCATGTGTGTCGGGACCCACGCGCTTCCTCACCAGCCTGGCAGCGCTCCCTGTGGTCTGGCGGAGGGGGCGGTCGGCGTAGCCGGTGCAGGTGCCCGTCCGAACGTCTTGCTGGCGAGTGGGGTCAGCACGGTCAGCAAGCGCCGTTTGTCCTTTCAACCGTCTGATGCGGCTGCTGGTTTGCTTTCGGAGGCGGAAGCGAGTTGGTATAGACAGGGAAGCTGAGCGGACTGGGAAGCAGGGGGGATGGCCCGAGGGGGGCCCCTGCCTGGCCCAGAACTGACCCGCTCTCCCCGCTGCGGCCGGGCTCCCCTCTTCACGGTAAGCTGAGTGGACGGCTTAGTCCTGGCGAGGCGCCCGGCCCTCAATGCCATGATTGGTCGGCTTCCGAGAAGAAGATCGCTCTTTGCAAGGTCAACTGAAACCATTTACAGCCTTTCTACACATAGATTATAGTCACTTTTCTCTCCAAAACCTTAGGCTTTTCTATTTTTTTATTTTAATTTCACTGTTACCCTCGATTATTGTCTTTTTTTATTGAGATAGTTGTGCCTCATCTGTTATTACAAAAATGTAACAATAAACTTCCTCAAACTAAGATATTTTCCTCATAGTTATACTGTTTACACATAAGGACACATGTACGTTTTTTACTGAAATATTTTTTTAACCCTTCAGTTTGTAGAGAAATTGTTTTAAAGATATTGCATTGTAGCTTTGTAATTTATATAGAGAGTTCTCTAGACTCTTTATTCTTGTAATTTTTTTACTTCTTTGATAAAAATGAGTCAGGTTATTTCAACTCCAAGATCAGGAAATAATCTTGAAACAAGATTATTAGTTATGACTAACTAACTTGGGCATCCTGGGAACAGACACTAACTTGGTATCGTGAGTAAAGGCACCGTTAGGAGGAGAGCAGTCGGGGTGAACTGCTCACCACTTACACTTTGCACAGCATTTTAGCATTGGCAGGAGGAGCTGGTTTGATGATCTGACCACCTTCAGTCTCTGGATGTATCCTCAGTTTTCCTTTGCGTAATAGAAAATAACTCAGCATGTGCAGTCAACATTAATTTGACTGTCCCCAAAATTCAGAGCAGTTGGATAACTCCTAATGTTCCTTGAAGGTTCATTACTTGTCGATCACAGTTTTTATTTCCACCTGGGACACAGGAGCGCTGTCACTGAGTGGATGCCTCTAGAACACGACTTCAGGACAAGGAACGGGGCAAATACATGTAAAGACACGTGTGTGTGTGAAGGAGGGATCCTGCTGCCCTGAGACCTGGGGGCCCGAGGAGAGGACCTGGTGATGGACGTGGATGTGGCCAGAGACAGGAGGCTGGGGCAAGCCCAAGGGAAGGCAAGGGTGGGAACTCTTTTCTCCGCAACCCCGTGGGGTGACCGTCCCCATCACAAAACGAAGAAACCTCTGATGCAAAGTGCGAATGCTTCCCAGCCGACGGAGCTCGTGGCGCTCAGGATTCTCTTGTAGAAAAGGCACGTATGTATTGTCCAGTGGCCATCACCCGGGTAGGCGTTGTGTGCGTCCACATGTGGGGAAGGCAGAACTGCCCCCCCCCACCCCCAGAGAAACTTGTACTCGTCATTATCCACGTGGCTGAGGGCTAAGGTCTTTGAGTTCCAGTTTCCCCATTTGTAAAAGTTGGATCAGATCACGATGCTCGGCTCTGGCGCCGCAGTCAGGTCACCTGAGGGGCTTTGCAAAGCCCTGGGCTGAGCCACCCAGAACCTGTGCAGTACAGCATCACGTGGACGCACTCCTGGTTTCCCAGGTGGTTGCTGTGCAGCCGGGGTCACAGGCCATGAAGCAGAGGACCATGGAGGACTCCCTCCAGGCCGCTGGAATTGTGGTCCACAACGTGCTGGCCCCCGAATCCTCCCCTTGCTGTGACCTACGACCTGCCTCAGGAAGAAAGTGATGCTGGCTTTTCTGTTGTGGTTTAAGTGAAGAGCAGAAGTTCCCACTAAGCCTTCAGCAGCATGTCGGGTGGTCCTTTCAGGCCTGTTGACGCCACCTTCTCCGTAAGGTACATCAGATGCGCTCAGCAACCTCATTCCTCAGTGATGCCCGGAACTTTAGAGAGCTCTGCTTGAAGGAGAGGACGAGCCCTTTTACAGTCTGCCTGGTGGCGCTAGGGAGAGGTGGGCCTTGCGTGTGGGATCCCTGCGTTTCACGGACTCGGCATTCGGGGCGGGCGCAGGCCCTGGTGCCAAGGTTGGTGCTGGGCCTGCAGCTGGCGGGGGGCTGACAGCTCAGCCCCCCTGAGCAAGGGCTGCTTTTACTGACTGCGTTTGTGAGGCACCTGCTGGGCCCTGAAGAGGGTGGTGGCGGGTCCCCAGAGGAAGGAGCTGCTTGGTTAAGGCGGCTCAGAGGCTGGCACTCGCTGTGTTGACAGCCCTTAACGGCAGGTGGCACGCGGTCCGTGCTGAGTTCAGGGAAGGGGAAGGCTCGCTGTGGGTGGAGGGGAGCCCCTGGGGCGTGGAAGGGCCACTCCGCTTCCTCGGTCCCACTCTTGGTGTGTGGTTCCTACCTTCTGCTGGAGGAGGACTTCACGGCACGCGAGGCCCAGCTACTCGTGTGGGCCCGCCCTCTCCTGCCAGGTCCCGCCCTCCGGAACCTGCTGGAACTAGAGGCTGGGTGTTCGCTGGCGCGCAGGATGGCACTGAAATAGGTGGTTTCGGTTTCCACACCATGTTGGCGCCTCTTCAGGTGAAAACCTACTTCAAAGCACAACAGGTTGCTACCTGCCAGAAGCACCCCCAGTGCCCGCCTCTCGCTGGATGGCATGGGATGCGCCACACCCAGAGCGGCTCCTCGGTGTGGACCACACACCTGCAGGGGTTCTGCTGACCCTGACGGTGGTCGTGAGCCCCTAGGAGAGCGGAGCGCTGCTCAGCGTGGGAACTTGCTACGCGAGCCTCCCGCCCCAGGTCACCGCAGGAAGGAGTGGGATGTTGCCAGCCCGAGTGAGTTCTCAAGCATCCTAGCAGGATGGATGTTCCCGGGAATCGGCGTCTGAGTACAGCAAGAGGTAGGAAATGGGGTGGAACTCAGAAACAGACCGTGAGATTCCTGCCCCAAACGCAGAACTCGTAGGGCAGCAGGCCCTCCCCGGCAGCCTGCGATTAGGGTGTGGAGTAGCTGAGAACAGGCAGGAACTGCTCTTGTGTCCCACCCGACCTATGACGCCTCCCTCCTCCTCAGATCCAGCGAGGACCTTGGCACGTCGCTGTGAGGTGCTTATTATAGGGACCTGAAGACTTGCTGTAAACGCGGCCCCGTGGCTTGCTTCACTCCCCCTGGAAACTGGGTTTTCCACTTCCAAGCTGGTTGTGAAGGTAGTGTTTTTATTCCGGAGGTTTTCTTTGTGTGTGTGTAACACAAACCACAGTGAAACACTAGAGCAGCTACTAGGGGTTCCTGGACCAGCCCACGTTTCCTCCCGGGCAGGCAGCCGGCACTCTGATTGCGCGGCCGGCGGGTGTCGACGGGGCTGAGCCGCGCGGGCTCACAGTCGTCCTGATCTGTCTGTTCCAGGCTTGTCATCGGGCGCCTTTTTATTAACACAGTTTATTTTGTGCTTTCAAAAGCCGAGTGATTCCCCCAAATGAACATCACCGCAGCTGTTCACAGTCAAGGTGGAGGTTCCCCGCGGGACCGCATTTCCCGGCAGCTTGCAGAGCCAGACCGCTCTGGTGGCCCAGGCGGTGTGGGCACTGGGGAGGGGTGGACCGCGCATTCCGCCTGGTGAGGCTGACCCGGAGTCTGGCCGAGAGAAGTCCAATGTAGGGGCAGCTGAGAGCATGACCCTTGTGAGTCGGGGGAAACAGGCCCTCCGCTGTGGGTTCTGCTGCTTCCCGGTGCTGGTCCAGGGGCCCAGCTCTTCAGCCGACTTCAGAATTTCTCCAGTCGGGAAGGAACTGAGAATGGGGTTCCGGGAGGCCCCACCCTGAGTGGCAACTGGCCAGGTGTGCTGCCGCAGCAGCCTGGGCGCTTTACAGCATCTCACGGGACTGCCACGCGCCTTGCAGCTGAACCCTCTGCCCTGGGGCCTTAGCCCCTCTGCTCAGGGCCCGGCCCCCGGGGACGCCCCCCGCAGCCTTGGGGGACGCAGGAGGTCTCCTCACCACCGTCTGTCCGGCTGTCTTCTAAAGAGGTCCGTGCCCACGCCGGGCAGAGAGCACTGTCACCTAGAAGACTCTGGAACTCAGGTCACAAACGTGGAACCAGCCTTGATCTGACAGTCGGGCTAACCAAGCCGGTTCTCTGTGGCTTCCCTCTTCACCCAAGCTTTCTGGACGAGCCTGGGCACCTTTTCCAGGTTCACTGGCAAACAGGTGGCCAGAGCTCTCACTGTGGAGTCTGTGGAAGCCGGGGCCAAGGCCTGTCCCAGGAGGGCTCACGGGCACCCAGTGAAACTTTCTGACCGTCATCTTAACTGTTAGATTCTCTAACAAGCCTGTTTATCAAGAAATTTAAAAGAGATCTCTATTGAGTCTGCCCATTTCTAGGATCTTAAAGCATTACCTTTTGACCTGTTAATGCAAATGGCAAAACATTCCAAGTGTCTTTTCCTTCAGTCCATTCGAAGCAGCTAAAATTGGCAGGCATGTTATTCTATGTTGACACGAGCGCAGCCAGGAAGTTCAGTGTTGTGTGCTCGGCCCCCTCCGCTCTGCCACGTCCTCAGCTCACCTCCTCAGTGCTGTGCTGTGGCCCCTGTAGGGCGTGGGGGACCCCGTGGCGGGGCAGGGCTGTGGGGATAATCTGCTGCGGCAGCGGCGGCAGAAACAGCTCTGAGCTCTCCCGGGCTCGCTCCACTCGGAAAGGAAGTTCAAGGGCCACAGCCGAGTGCTGGGCCACGGGCGCCGCCCCTGGGGTGTCACTGCAGCTCCACACCCCTTCCCTCCCCCCCATAATGGCACCAACAGCGGGGACAGGCCTCGGTTTACAGATGCTGTGTTCCAGGTTAAGAGATACATGATGCAGTGTAAAAAGTGTATTGTATAGCTACGGGGGTTAGTTTAACATGTTTTGTATATACGACTTTTATAAATCTATTAAAACTTGCCGTAAATTACATTCTTCTGGTGTGTTGCGTCCCTGGCGCCCTGCGGCAGCCATGAGCGAGGCCCCCTGAACGGGGAGCATGTTACTGGGTCCCTGAGTGCGTGTTCATTGTTGTGTCTGCCAGCTTCCTGGGTGAAGCTCCACCCCTGGGGCGGGTGGCCAGGGCTCCAGTGGGCACCGGGCAGGAGAGGGGTGGGTGGGTGGTTAGAGCCTGGGGTCTGGGCCTCGGACTCTGCTCCCTCATCCCGTCCCCTCCCTGGCAGGGATCCCACGTACTCTCCAGTGTTTACTCAACCATAGGGTCAGGCATGTCTCAACGACGTCACAAGTACAGACTGCAGTCTGGATGAAATGCAAGAACACAGCTGAGTGACAACGTCGAACCTCCAGCGTCACCGCAGGAGAAATGTTGTAGGTAATGTTAGTAGAAGTAGAAGTAATGACACTCCCCCCAAAAAAAGAAAAAGTAGCCTTTTTGTTATGTCGCATCAAAAACATCAACCTTCACCCTGAGAAGCATGGATACAAGGAACAAGCATTTATGAAGTGAGCCAGTGCAGTGGATAAGGTTTTTTTTAAACTTTGGGCAGAGTGACTAGAGCAGAAGAGGTGTCTAGTGGATGTGTGTTGGGTGGACGTGTCGTGGATAAATAAAGACTCTCCCAGTCTGCCCACATCAACAAGGATCCGAGTCTCTGAGAGGAGGCCCTTCTAAGGAGGAGAACAGACCATTCCGTTTCTAGAAGGTGCACACACAGTGAAAGCGCTGGCCGCACTGCAAGTCGAGTCTGACGGGCACTGTGCATTCCAAGCAAGAAGGAACTACTTATTACATTCAAGTGATGAATTCTCTTGTTTTCAGTTAGACTTCTAGAATATCATCCTCTTCCCTCAGCATTCAGGTTTTGTAGCATTAATTTGGAGATTGAAAATGTAATCTGTAAGCATTAAAAAGTTGAATTACACAGAATTTATTCTGTACGTCGAAGTCATCCATAATCCCGGTATTAAGATGCCCACGTGTACGTGTGTTTCCACTTGGCTTCTGGACTTTTAAACGTAAGAACGAGGCCGATCGAGTCGTTTAATCAAGTTGTGATTGAAGCTCACGTAATCCGACGGTGTTGCCACTGAGAAAGGCCTGTTTTGGGGGCCAACAATGGGGGGGGACGAGGGGCCACGGTCCCCTGGACCTTCCTTCACCTTTTTCAGGCCTCGCTTCTGCTCGGAGCGTGTGACAAGCGGGGGTTGAGCTAACGGGAGCGCCACTTTTACCAGCTGCTTCAGGGAGAAGCGGGAGAGGGCCGGGGAGGCCCGAGGACAGAGGAAGAAAGAGGAGTGTCGACCTCTGCTCCCAGAAGCTCCCGCAGCCTGGGTCCTGCTCACCTGAGGTGAGGTGGCAGCCCAGACGCCACTGTCCCCACCGTCCACCGAAGGGGACTCTCCCCAAACGGACGTTCAGAGGAACGGCCCTGGTCCTTCCCCAGGGGCAAGGGCGGACGATGACTCAGTGCCAGTTCAGGTAGATGGGGAGCCCCTCCCTGCACTGTGCCCCTGCCTTTGACACGAGGTGCTGCTCTCAGAAGAGCTGCCATCTGTACCCTTGGGTCCCTGTGGGGCTCTCTCCTCTCCTTCCAGGAACGCCTTTGCCACCAGCTCCGTCCCCCCATTGAACCAGGAGGGCGGCAGGGCTTCCCCAGGGGCGTCCCCACTGACAGTCCGAGCTGGGCAGGAGGACAGAGGCAGACACAGCCCCCGCTCCCCGCCGCCCCCCAGCATCCCCCCAGCTTCGGCTGCAACCACCGTCCAGTGTAGACGGTCAGCCCCGCCCCCCTTTTGAAATCCCCTCTTGCTTTGGGCAGGCACTGCGAGAAACAGTGAAAATAAATCACCTTTTGTGGCTCAAAGGCTGAAGGAGGGAAAGAGGAGGAGCCGGTCGGCCTTGGCGGGTCAGCGCCACCCCGGGAGCGTCCCGCCTCGTCCCACCTTGTCCCGCCTTGTCCCCGTGGCAGGTGAGTGCAGACTGCAGGCGCCGCAGCGGCCTGGGAGTGGGTTTCCTGACTGGTTCCCCGCTGATCACCGGCCAGTGAGAGGCCAACAGACATCCCCGTGGTGACCGCGGGACACCATAAGGACCACACGGTAAATGTCTCAGACCATCCGGGGGACGCGAGGGAAGCCACGCGGGCCTGGCTGTAGGGCGTTTCAGCTGCGTCGTGGCCGGGAGGGACAGGAGGGCTCAGCAGAGAGGATGCTGACGGAAGCGCTGGTGGCCTCCCGGGGGACCTGGCTTCCCTTCCGGCTAGGGTGCGGAGAGCCAGGGTCGTGCGCTAGGTGGGATGCCCCACGGGTCCCCTCCAGCAGCCCAGGAGTCGCCTTTTTGACCAGCGCGTCCTCGGCCGCCCTGGCTCGCCGCTGGGATAGGGGCATTGGACTGAACACGTAGTGGCCCTGGGACGCCTCTTGGAAATTGTTTTTTAAAATAAACCCCTGACGTAGCTCGTTTTCATCCGTCTCTTTACCCAAGAAGCAGAGTTCAAAAACAAGCCTCGGTTATTTTGGGCTCTCCCAGATGGGGGCGCTGGAAGAGGCAGGCTCTTCGCACGGGTTTCAGCAGCTCCCAAGGCCGTGGTGCTGTCAGCCACGCAGTAGGCATTTCCCAGATTCTTCTCGGTGCTTAGTTTCCACAGCCTGTCGTTCTAGGGGCCGTAAATCTGCTGCTTCCTGGGGTTTCCTTGGAACCGGGCTCCTCTGTGGACAGTCGTCCCTACAGCCACCAGGATGCATCTGGCTCCACTAGAGACTCCAGCGCTGGGGCAGGCGGGGGTCGAGGGCCGGCCGGGCCTCGGGTCCCCGGCGCCAGCCGCCCTCTGCAGCCTGGCCGCAGCGGGCGAAGGCGGCCTGGAAGAGGCCTCTGTCCACTCCCGGGCGCGTGGGCTCCAGCTCAGTCGGGAGCCGCCCAGCAAAGCCCTGATCCTCCCGGTCTTCAGGGTAAAAATAGTCCTGCTGGGGCCTCGCCCTCTTTCTACAAACAAATCAAAGCCCCAGCAGCTCCGGGCTCTCTTTACCTTGGCATCTTCGCCCAGAGAGCCGGCCACCCACCCACCCAGGCCATTCCTCGGCCCTCTGGGGAGTCTCTGGCCCAGAAGTGCTGCAGCCACTAGGCAGCTTCCTGGCCACCTTAGAAGCCAGGGCAGAGCCAGCAGGGCTGCGGCCCAAGTAGGGAGCCCGGGGTGCAGACCTCCCAAGCCTTGTGCTTTCCTCCTGACTCTCTGCCTGCTCAGACTTCCCCGGTGTGCTTTCCTAAGACCCGGAACACGCAGGGCTAAGTCAGAGCAGACCCGCTGGGACTCTCAGGCCCTGCTTTGCAGCCTCAGGCAGATGAGCAAACCTCTCAGCTCCCTTAACCATAAAATGGGATCAAGGTATCTACCTTGCAGGGATGTAAGAAATTCCCTGGTACTTAGAAGGACAGGTTCAAAGGGGGGCTTTATTTGCAAGGACGAGCTCCCTGTCTTTCCGCAGACGGATGAGGGTCTAGCCGCCTGGCCCTGCCTGGCGGGTCTGCAGAGTAGCTCCTGTGGCCCCGCGAATGGACCTTGTGTGTGTGTGTGTGTGTGTGTGTCCGTCCCTGGAATGCTACAGCCGCTCCTTTGAACTTGGTGGGATCTAAATTTGGACTCTTCGTTTTAATATTAGCTGCTCCGGTAAGCTATTGTGTGTTTATTTTTTTAAGCCCTTTCAGAGATTGCTTTCCTCCCAGAAAGGTCTGAATCAGATGTCCCACGGGACAGTATTAACAGGCCCACATCCCTCCCCCGACCCACGCTCTGGAAACAGGGGGGCCGGCGGAGGGGCTCCCGGGCTAATCCCACTTTCCTGCCCCGCAGGTGGGGAGGAAGGAGTTGAGAACAGTCCTCCTCTCCCTCCGATGATGAGTTTGGGCTTTGGGGAAGAAGAGGGGGAAGAATGAGAGGCAGGAAGAGGGTCTGCCACCTCTTGACCAGGGCCCTGCTTCCCATCGCCCCTAACCAGGACACAGTTTCCACATGTGTTGAGGCATGCGTGGATGTCCCAGCCCCATCTCACACGGGAACGGTGACACAACGCCACGACCCCAAAGTATTTTTAGCTCCATTCAAGCCCCTCCACCCAGTCCCACCAGAGAGTGAGGGGCTCCGAGAGGGTCCGCGGGAAAGCTCGGAGGCCTCTCCTCCTGACCTGCAGGGGGGCCTTTGACAGATAAGGAGATGAGATGATTCTGACTTGGTGCTTCTGCATAAGTAAAAGCCAGGCCCTTGTTTCTCGGAAACCGTCATCTGAAGCTATTTCAGCTCAGCCCCGTTAAGGTGCCCAGCTGTACCACGTCTGAGCCTGAACTTGGTGAGCCGTGACTTTGCCATGGGAGATGGCGTTCGTTATCCCCTCCTCTGTCAAAAGCCGCTCCCTGGGGACTGTCCCCAACTGCTCTCCACCCCCAGCAGGGGCAGAACCTGGGCTGATACTTGAGCAGAGGAAGGAAGCTATCATCTCTGCTCCTAAACGTTTTAATTTCAAAACTTTCCTCCCAGCAGCTGTCTTTAAAAAGTGTCCTCCATCTGCAACTGGTGAAGCCCGTGGAGGAAGTGGCTTGTCCCTCCCCACTTCAGAATGCTTTTTTGGGACACTCGTCACAGTTGGGAGCCAAAGGCCACGGTTGCAGACAGGCAGCACTAAGAATCTCGTACGACCCCCTTGAGCTCCCTCCCTCAGTCTGAGCCAGGCTCTTCTCTCTTCGTCACCTGTGTGTGTGCTTACATCATTCCAGTCGTTAATCTTTTGCAGAAGAAAAACAGGTAAGATTTTGCCGCAGGTATGATGACCAATCTGAGCAGCAAATGCTAACTGGGGCAGGTTTTTCCTGTTTTCTCACCTCCCGAGCTCTTCCAGAAGCTCACCACACCCCTATGAGGAGGTGGGATCTCCATCCCCTCCCTGTGGGTGAGCCTGGGTGAGCCTTTCAGGCGGCCTTAACGGAGTATGGCTGGGTCCCGAGAGGCTACACGTCTTCCACGTGACTCCAGGAAACCCCTCCTTTGGTAGCCAGCCGCCATACTACACGGAAGCCCAAGCCACCCAGACAGGACCAAGGCCCTGGCCCTCGGCCGTCACGCGGCAGCCCCGTGAGTAAGCCGCCCTAGAGCAGGACGCTCCAGCCCAGCCCCAGGGGTACGCTCTGTCCACACTGCAGCTGAGCTGGATAGGTTGCTGGGGTTTCAAGCCACTAAGGGGTGAGTGATTTGTTCACAATGACAGACACCAAGGCCTCCTTCCCTTCCTCCATCACGCGCTCTGTGGGGTCGGCCCCAGCACACTTTCTGCAGAGCCTGGCTCGTCCTCGTCTCCCCATCAGTTACCTCTGGATCCTTGTGCTGCATCTTCAACCGCATGGAACAGAGAATGCGGGTCTGAAGAGCTGCACCCTCGCTGCGTTATTTTCAGGATGGGCTCATCCTTTCCATCTTTCTGGGGCTGGAACCTACCTCACAAGGAGGCTTCAGGCGTCCTTGCTTGGGGGGCGACCCTCCTGATTCTGTATTTGTAGTTTGTACTGTTTTTCTTAGAAGGCCCCCCAAACTGTCTAAGCTATGTAGGAGCTGCTTCTGTTCGTGCCTCTCTCCAGATGGGAAGTAGCTGCGACTACTCATCACTCCGCGGGAGCTCTGCTGTCCGGACGAGAAGCATCTCTCCCCAGGACTCCTAAGCAGCAGCCCGGGGCATTTGATAATGAAAACGGTCAGTTGGTCAGGAAAACCTAACAGTCAAATGTGTGTGTTGCACATAAAGGAGTTTCCAAGAACCGGAAGCAAAGTTTGACGAAATTAAAGGCAGACAGACAGTTCTACTGGGGTGATGGGTATTTTAACATCTAAATCACTTGTTCTCTCAGCAGCTGGTCAAACGAGACCAAAAAAACACAGACACAGGTGTTCTGAACAAATCTCATCTCCTTGCCCTCACTGGTGTTGGGGTCCAGGCCACCTTTGTCAGAAAACTGTCCTGAGGATGGAGCCGCGGTTTGCTTTCACCTCTGCAAGTCACAGCACGCAGCAGCACCTTCAGACCTGCACACGGGACACCCTCCCTTCCCGCAACGGTTGTCAGAAGAAGCGGCACATCTCTGGGCACGTGGTCTGGTAGGTGGTGGCCACCCGGAACTTTCAGGGAGACGCCCACGCCAAGTTCCAAGGGTCAGAGTGCGGTTAGCGCCGCACAAAGGGGCCCTTTCTATGGGCTTGGGGTCGGGGGAGGCGGGGGACCTTGTAGGTTGCAACAAGACCCCCTTTGCCCTCCTTCGAGCGGAGGACCCATGTTGGGGCCTTGCAATCTGAGTTCGCCGTAGCAGAGCCCCGAGCCCCAGGCCGCAGGAGAGACAGGCACCTGCCCGGCACCTGCTCTGTGAGGTCGGGTGCGGCCCGAGGACGGCCCTCGGGGTACCTGGGACCCCGCCCCCCCGCCACCCGGCCGCGTCGTGAGGCTGCGGTTAGGGCTGGGGGTGCGGGGTCCACGTGCAGACGGATCGCCTTCCGCTTTCCGAGACACCGTCCCTTCCGCCCACAGCCGGGCCCGCAGCGCCCTGGGGACAGGCAGGCGCTGGACGAGACGCACCAGCCGTGCTGGACAAGACGCGGCAGCCGTGCTAATTGTCCTCCGCCTTCCAGCGCCGCGGGGACGCCTCGGCCCTGGACAGTTTGCGAGCGCTCAGCTTCCGCCTGAGGGAGGAGAACTTGTCGCCCAGGACTCGGCGCAGCCCCGCGCCGTCTCGGCCGCAGGGCGGGTCCTGCCGGGGGGCCGGGAGCCGCCCCGTGAACAGGTCCCAGCGGGCCAGGGCGTCCACGGCGCCGTCCACCCGCGCCAGCTCCTCCTCAGTCACGTCCCTCTCCAGGGCCTGGATGCAGGCCGCCAGCCAGCGCCCGTGCTCCGCCAGGGCCTCCCCCGGGCTCTCCGCGGCCGCCAGGGAGCCCAGCCCGTCCTCAGGCTCCAGCTCCGGGCCCGCGGGGAAGGCGTGGCTCCAGGCGTCCGGGGACAGGGGCTCCGACAGGCCGCTGCCAGGCTCCGAGTCGCTCTCGCCGCACAGGCCCGAGTCCGCGCTGCAGGGCAGGGTGTCCTCCGACACGGACGGCTCCCCGGCCGCCGGCCCAGGCCGCGTCCCCGCCGCCGCTAGCGTCCAGGTGTACAGTCTCTACGAGGGAGAGACGCGGGCTGAGTCGGCCTGTCCGGCCCCTTCCCTCGCCAGGGAGCCGCCAGGAGACCCAGCCCCTCTCCCGAGGGGACCCCACTGTGCCCACGACCCAGGGCGAGTGGCAGTCTGGCGCCACAAGGGCCCTCGGAATGGGGCCCTCGGAATGGGGCTTTGCAAGCCCGACCGTTATTCGTGGATAAATTGAGCTGACTTGTTACCACTCTGCTCAAAGCAAAGGGAATCATGGTTTTCCTACATCCCACTAGCACCTCTGCGCGTGGTGCATGCGGGCATCAGAGACGCCCACGGTCAGCTACTGCCCACCTCCTCCCCACTCTCCTTCCGTGATGGCTGAGAACCGGCCGTGGTGGAGTCGTCACACGATGGAAACTGGCAGATACGCCCAGTCGAGGATTCTTCCTTAGAGGGCGCTTACCAGCACACCACCGACTGATGGGAACAGATCCAGAGCAGGCCCAGGGCGCCCCCCTCGAGGTTAGGAGTCGCGGGAAGGCACGCGTCAGGGGAGGGGGACGAAGGGCCTGAAAGTTCGGATCCGATAGGCGAGCAAGACCCCAAGAAAGGAAGTGGTGAGAAACCCCAGACCTTGTGCAGGCCGCGGCTGCCCCGCTTCACCTTACACGCACACGAGGATAATGGGCAGCTTACAGCCAAGCCCCCAGCCCTGCGCTCGGTGGGGCGGGCGCTCTGGTGACGGTGACGCCCTGGCCCGGCGCATCCTGCTGAGCGCCGTCAGCCAGTCGGCAGCAGAGGCACCTCCCTACGGGGGCACTGCCTCTGGGTCCCCTCTGCAGCGAGGCAGGCCGCCTCCTCAGCGCCCCTCGACGCGCTATTTACCCCAGAGACATTCAGGGGAGACCCAGGCCGGGAGGCAGCTCTGACCTGGACATGCCCAGCCCCGTGTTCAGGGGTCCCCAGCCTGGGGTCCCTGACCAGCAGCAGCCTGGGAGCCCGTTAGAAACGCAGAGCCAACCCCTCCACAAGCACCGGATCATAAACTCCTGCCTGTCCGAGAGCCTCTCCCCCGAGTCCAGCCCCCGGACCCAGTGGGCTCCAGCAGCTGACCATCTCCTAGAGGAGGACGGGCTTCCCAGAACCTCAGACACAACGGGATACACTTAAAGCGTCTGGCTTAAAACTTTGGGTCTTAAAGTTGAGCCCAAGCTGTTTTGTTGGTGGGCCTATGCCTTCATTTGAACAAAAAACTTCTTTAACTTGGTATTTTCATCCAAAGGTGGATTTAAAGAAGAAATTACCACTCTTCCAAAAGACTGAAGAGGAGGGACCACTCCCAAAGACATTCTATGAAGCCACCATCACCCTGATACCAGAAACAGAGATACCACCAAAAAAAGAAAATTACACGCCAATATCTTTGATGACTATAGATGCAAAAATTCTCAACAAAATATTAGCAAACCAAATCCAACAGATTTAAAAATGTTCATACACCACGACCAAGTGGTGTTCATCCCAAGTTCACAAGGATGGTTCAATATATGCAAAGCACTCAGTGTGATACACCACTCTAACGAAAGAAGACGAAACCACATGAGCATCTCAACAAACGCAGAAAAGCATTCGATGAAATTCAACATTATGATAAAAACTCTTACCAAAGTGGGTAGAGAGGGAACATATCTCCGCATAATAAAAGCCACTTATGACAAACCCACAGCCAACATAATACTCAACGGTGAAAAGCTGAAAGCCTTCCCACTAAAACCTGGAACAAGACAAGGATGCCCACTCACACCACTTCTACTCAATATAGTATTGGAAGTCCTAGCCACGGCAATCAGACAAGGAAAAGAAATAAAAGGTATCCGAATTGGAAGGGAAGAGGCAAAACTGTCACTCTCTGTAGATGACATGATACTATAAATAGAAAACCCTAAAGACTCCACACAAATGCTACTAGAAGTGGTTGCATTTCTTTACACTAGCAATGAAATATCAGAAAGGGAATGTAGAAAAGAAAACACCTTTTAAAATTGCACCAAAAAATTGAAATACCAAGGAGGTGAAAGTCTTATATGCTGAGATCTATAAAACATTAATAAAGGAAACTAAAGATGATTCAAAGAAATGGAAAGATATCCCATGCATTTGGATTGGAAGAATATTGTTAAAATGGCAATACTACCCAAAGCAACCTACAGATTTAATGTGATCCCTGTCAAATTACCCATGACATTTTTCACAGAACTAGAACAAATAATCCAAAATTTTATATGGAACCATAAAAGACCCAGAATTGCCACAGCAATCCTGAGGGGGGGTGGGGGGAAGCAGAAGGCATAACCCTCCCAGACTTCAGACAACACTACAAAACTACAGTAATCAAAACAGTGTCGTATTGGCACAAAAACAGACATATGGATCAATGGAACAGAATAGAGAGCCAAGAAATAAACCCACACACCTAAGGTGAATTAATCTTCGACAAAGGATACAAGAATGTAAAATGGGAAGAAGATAGCCTCTTCAGCAGGTGGTGCCGGGAAAGTTGGACAGCTGCATGTAAATCAATGAAATTAAAACACACCCTCACACCATGCATAAAAAGAAACTCAAAAGGGCTTAAAGAGTTAAACATAATACATGACACCATGAAACTAGAAGAGAGCATAGCCAAAACATTCTCTGCCATAAATCATACAAATGTTTTCTTAGGTCAGTCTCCCAAGGCAATAGAAATAAAAACAAAAATAAATAAATGGGACCTAATCAAACTTACAAGCTTTTGCACAGCAAAGGAAACCATAAATCAAACGAAAAGACAACCTATGAAATGGGAGAAAGTTTTTGCAAATGAGGCGACCGACAAGGGCTTAATCTCCAAAATATACAAACAGGGCTTCCCTGGTGGCGCAGTGGTTGGGAGTCCGCCTGTCGATGCAGGGGACGCGGGTTCGTGCCCCGGTCTGGGTGGATCCCGCATGCTGCGGAGCGGCTGGGCCCGTGAGCCATGGCCGCTGGGCCTGCACGTCTGGAGCCTGTGCTCCGTGGCGGGAGAGGCCGCGGCGGTGAGAGGCCCGCGTACCGCAAACTATACAAACAGCTCATACAACTCAATAACAAAAAAAACAAACCACCCAATCAAAAACTGGGCAGAAGACCTAAATAGACATTTCTCCTAAGAAGACATACAGATGGCCAATAGGCACATAAAAAGATGCTCAACATCACTTATTATTAGAGAAATGCAAATCAAAACTACCAGGAGGTTTCACCATACACCGGTCAGAATGGCCATCATTAAAAAGTCTACAAATAACAAATGCTGGAGAGGGTGTGGAGAAAAAGGAACCCTCCTACACTGTTGGTGGGAAGGTAAACTGGTGTAGCTACTATGGAAAACAGTATGGAACTTCCTCAGAAAACTAAAAATAGAATTACCATATGATCCAGCAATTCCACTGCTGGGCATATATCCAGACAAAACTCTAATCCAAAAAGATACATGCACCCCTGCGTTCACAGCAGCACTATTTACAAAAGCCAAGACATGGAAACAACCTAAATGTCCACTGACAGATGAATGGATAAAGAAGAAGTGGTACATATATACAATAGAATACTACTCAGCCATAAAGAAGAATGAAATAACGCCAATTGTAGCAACATGGATGCAACTAGAGATTATCATACTAAGTGAAGTCGAGAAAGACACATACCATATGATATCACTTACATGTGGAATCTAAAAAATGACACAAATGACCATATCTACAAAAGAGAAACAGACTCACAGACGTAGAGAACGGACTTGTGGTTGCCAAGGGGGAGGGGGGTGCGAGAGGGATGGATGGGGAGTTTGGAACTAGTACATATAGAATGGATACACAACAAGGTCCTACTGTATAGCACAGAGAACTATATCCAATATCCTGCGATAAACCGTAATGGAAAAGAATATACAAAAGAATGTATGTATGTGTATATATAGATAGATGTATAACTGAGTCACTTTGCTGTACAGCAGAAATCAACACAACATTGTAAATCAACTATACTACAATTAAAAAATAATAAAAGACTTTTAAAAAGAGAAAATAACCACTACCTGCCTTTGAACTGTGAACTCAGAGTAAAGTTTCTGAGTTTGCAAACGAACTTCTCCGTTGGATAAGGTTTCTCCCTGCAGTGGAGCAGATGGACCCGGTTCCCTAGGGTCCCTCTTGGGCCCTGCTCCCCGGCAGTGCCTCGTGCGGACAGCAGAGGGCAGCATCGCCACGCTGGCTCAGCCCCCGCGCAGGGCGGGGCCGGATTAAGAGCAGCGCCTGCCTTTCCACAGTGATTCTTGGTTAGTCTGGTTCCGCCTCCTCCTCCGGAGGGGCTGTGAGCCAATTAGGGAGAAAGTGATGCTGGGGAAGGCCCCTTGGTGATGCTAGAAGCGGCCCGAGTACAGGAAGCTCTAGGACAGGGTCTAGTACACGGTCAGTGCCCGGTAAAGACGGGCTCTGATTAGGGTTGCCTGGGAAATAAAAGCCGTGCGCCCCTGTGGTGACAGCCACCGGCACTGGGCCAGGCGCCTGGCGGGGGACTCAGCCAGACCCACGAGACCCGCAGACCTGTTCACCCCTCCCCCTGCCCGCGACTCACCTTGTACCTGTCCACGAGCTTGAAGCCCAGGATGTGCTGCAGCTTCCGAAGGCAGATGGGGCAGAGGTCCGGGGGCCGCCGCAGGGCCTCGTCCAGGCTGAGGGTGCCCTGCATGAGGCAGCGGAGCCAGCGGCAGTTCCCCAGGCCCAGGAGGTGGCAGAGCTCGTGGCACGTGACCTGAGGGAGAAGGTCCCCACCGCCTTGCATCCTGGAGCCCGCCACCCGCCGATCCCCGGGACCCCTGGGTGCGGGGAGAAAGGCAAGCTGGTGTGGTCAGCTCTGGGGGCCTCAGAGCATGGAGGTTGGGTGTCAGACAGACGAGGGCTCAAATCCCAACCCTGCCACTTGAGAGCTGTGTGACCTTGGACAAAGCACTTGGCGTTTCTGAGCCTAAGTGGCCATAGTCCCTGAAGTGAAGGATGGTCCTCAGCACCGTGAGGGCTGGACAGCGTAACTGCTGGACCCAGGGCTCGATGGCTGTCCACTCACGCCCTTCCGTCTGATTCCACACCCTAGCATCTTCCTGGAGCTCGCCAGAACCCCCAGCAGCCCCTCCTCTTCCTGTCCCCCGTCTCCTCCCGCCACCTGGGCAGCACCCCAACACCCACCTTGCAGCACTGGACCATCCCCAGGGCGCTGAAGCACACGGTCCGGCCTCTGTCCTGCAGGGGTGCCTCGGGGGCCAGGTCAGGGGTGCTGGGCCCCCGCTGCAGGGATTCCCCCGAGAACCGCGCAAAGCTGCAGACGCCCACTTCTGGGGAGAGGCAGAGAAGCGGAGGCACCAGGAGTGGCCTCAGCTCAGGGAGCCCACGGGCAAAGCCACCCTCCTCAGGATGCACAGGTCCTAAAGGCCCCGCCCTGCCAGCGCGTTTGCCAGGCAGACAGCCCCTGGCCCAGGAGGGGCGAGAACTGGGGCTGCAGCTTCAAGAGAGCATTTCCATATATGCCCATTCCTCCCCCAGGAGCGGTGCTGGGAGAAGCAGCAAGGGGATGACGTCCCCACGTGTTCCAGGCCCTGTACCCACGCCTCAGGGCTGAGGCAGGAGGCCCCCAGGTGCCGGCTCACCGTGCCCCGGAAGGAACGTGCCAAAGGTGAAGGTCCAGGCCTCGCGGGGGTACAGGTCGGACAGCGTGAGGCCCAGCACGCATAACGCATCGCCCGGTTTGCTGCTCTTCAGGAAGGACAGGATGCCGTCTGCGGGGACAGGGCCAGAGCGGGCAGTGAGGAGGCCGCTGGCGCCCCTCTCCGGGCCCATCCCCCACTTCCTCTGCCTGGGACCAACTCGTCCCACAGTCGGACACAGCTAGTGACATTCCAGGAAAAACTCAGCAGCCAAGCTGCACCGTGTGAAGCGGGGGCTCCGGGCCTGGGCCTCGGGGGGAAGAAAGAGCTCAGGTTTGGAAAGGGTAGTCCAAGGGGGGACACCAAAAAGGCCGCCGGGCCAATGAGACCGGTGTTCGTGGGAAGAGCCGTTGCAGCCTCGGGCAGCTGACTGATGGCCCCAAAGACGTGGCATCTCATCCCCGGGACCTGTGCGTGTGCTCCTCACCTGGCAGAAGCGAGCAGATGGGATTAAATTAAAGGTCTCCCAGTGGGAAGGTGATTCTGGATTACCCAGCTGGACCCCGATGGAATCACCAGGGTCCTCCCGAGAGGAGGCAGGAGGGTCAGAGAGAGCTGAAGGGGCCATAGCGCCGGCTCTGGAGGAGGAGGGGCTGCAAGGTCACATTTCACCTGAAATGTGACCTTACTTGGGGACAGGGTTTGCAGACGTAATCAAGTTAAGGTGAGGTCAGTAGGGTGGGCCTAATCCAATTCGCCTGGGGTCCTTCTAAGAGGAGAAGCGACACAAGCTACGTGATGATGGAGGCCGAGGCTGGACCAAGGACCGCCGGCCGCCACCAGGGGTGGAGGAGGTGAGGAAGGGTCCCCCGGAGCGTTCACGGGGGACAGGGCCGGCCAACACCTTGGTCTCAGGATCCTGGTCTCCGGACCGCGAGATAATACACTTCTGTGTTTTAAGCTTCCCAGTTTGTGGTGCTCCGTTACAGCGGCCGCAGGAAACGAACACAGCCATCTGAACCACGTATCTGACCACGGGAATCCAGCCTCTCATAGCCTCTGCACGCCACCTGCTGGGTGACCCTCCCGGGCCCCCTTCCTTCCCAGTGGCCCACGAAGCCTAGGGCGGGGGAAACAGCAGTCCTTTCGGCAGTCAGCAGAGGTGGACACCCGGACCCCAGCACCACAGCCCCTGGGGCAGCTGGGTTTCCCTGAGTCGCGCGGAAGCAACGGCAGGCGTGGTGGCGCCGCACGGGGCAGGAGCGGCGGGGCCCAGGCCGGCCATTGCTCCTCGGGCCCCGCTCAGACCCTCGGGGGGGCGGGGGAGGGCTGTGCCCAGCGAGAGACCGAGGCTGCAGTCTGGGACAGAGGAAGGGGCACGCCACCGTTGGGACGGCACCCACCCGGCCAGCAGTCCCTGTCAGCCCCAGAAACTCAACGCCGGCTGTAACAGCGCACTACCTGCCGCTACAAGATAACCACACAAGCCGAGTGAAACACAAAGAACAGCTTCTTAGGGCATCGAAGATGGGGGACGGGTGGCTGCAGGAGGGCACGGAGGAAGGCCTGGGGGGGCGAGGCAAGCTGTTCTACACACTCTTATGGTGATGGCTACGTGATGTGTGTGTGGGGGTCAGGACTCAGAACGGTTACACCCAGAAGGAATAATTTCTCTATATGTAAATTATGCCTCAATAAACAGGACTTTTAAAACACCAGAGACCTACTGAGAAACTAGAAACAGGGAGAAGATTAGAATCCCAAGAGATGAAGCTGAGCTGTTTCTGAGACGGTGGATGGGAAGGTGACCCTGATGACACAGCCCCTGCTCCGCCTGCTACCCCAAAGGGCCGCACCCAGGGAGAGGAAGGCTGTACTCCTGGGGTCATCAGGGTGGCCCAGACCGTCAGCTCCCTTAGGTGCCTGGCCAAGGAGAAATAAAATCCTCTCGCAGAAAAACTACATCATCCCAGGCCACAAATTCTTCTAAAAGTTAAACTAATTTTTCACATAAGACGTCCAGCTAACAATCAAAAATAAGACACACAATGAGGCAAAATAACTAAGACAGAATTAGCGGAAAGAGCAACACGGGTGCTCGAAATGCTGGACTCACAGACACAGATTATAAAGCAGCTATGCTCATAGATATAAATGCTAAATGTAATTTTAGCCGGGAATCGGGAATGATGAAAAAAGTGACACTGGGACTTCCCTGGCAGTCCAGTGGTTAAGACTCTGAGCCCCCAACGCAGGGGGCCCAGGTTCCATCCCTGGCCAGGGAACTAGATCCCACATGCATGCCACAACTAAGAGTTCACATGCCATAACTAAGGAGCCCGCGTGCTGCAACTAAGGAGCCCTCGAGCCACGATTAAGGAGCCCGCCTGCTGCAACTAAGACCTGGCACAACCAAATAAATAAATAAATAAATTTTTAAAATTTTTTTAAAAAGTGACACTGCTGCGTCAAAAAGAATAAAATACCTAGGAATAAACCTACCTAAGGAGGCAGAAAACCTGTACTCGGAAAACTATAAGACACTGATGAAAGACCCTGGGACAAGATGACAGAGTGGAAGGACCTTGAGCTCACCTCTCACGAGCACACCAAGAAATCACAACTAACTGCTGAACGACCATCAGTAAAAAAGATTGGAACCTACCAAAAAAGATATTCCACATCCAAAGACATAAAGCAGAAACCCAAAGAGACAGCAGAAGGAGCACATTCACAATATAATCAAATCCCATACCCCACAGGTGGGTGACCCGCAGACTGGAGAACAATTATATCACAGAAGTTCTCCCACAGGAGTGAGAGTTCTGAGCCCCACACCAGTCTCCCCAGCCTAGGGGTCCGGCATTGGGAGGAGGAGCCCCAGAGCATCTGGCTTTGAAGGCCAGTGGGGCTTGAGTGCAGGAGCTCCACAGGACTCGGGAAACAGAGATTCCTTCCTCTCTTGGAGGATGCACACAAGGTCTTGTGTGTACCAGGACCCAGGGTGAAAGCAGTGACTTCATAGGAACCTGGGCTAGGCCAACCTGCTGGTCTTGGTGGGTTTCCAGGGGAGGCCGGGGGCAGCTATGGCTCACTGTGGGTCCAAGGACACTGGTGGTGGAGATACTGGGGGATATTCATCAGTGTGAGCCCTCCTGGAGGCTGCCATGTTAGCACCAAGACCTGGCCCCACCCATCGACATGCTCCAGAGTGGGGGCGCCTCAGGTAAAACAACCAACAGGGCGAGAACACAACCCACCCATCAGCAAACCGGCTTCCAAAGACTCGCTGAGTCCACGGCCACCTCTAGACACACCCCTTGACACGGCCCTGCTCACCAGAGGACCAGGACCCAGCTCCATCCACCAGTGGGCAGGCACCAGCCACTCCCACCAGAAGCCTGCACAAAACTGATAAACCTTTAGCCAGACTCATCAAGAAAAAAAGGGAGAGTGCCCAGATCAATAAAATTAGAAATGAAAAAGAAGTTACAACCAACACCACAGAAATACAAAGAACCATACACAAAAATCTGTTACATTCCTATACAGTAACAATGAAAGCTCAGAAAGAGAAATTAAGGAAACAATCCCATTTTCCATAGCATCAAAAAGAATAAAATACCTAGGAATAAACCTACCTAAGGAGGCGAAAGACCTATACTCTGAAAACTATAAGATGCTGATGAAAGAAATCAAAGATGACACAGACAGAAAAACATACCATGTTCTTGGATCAGAAAAATCGATATGGTCAAAATGACCATACTACCCAAAGCAGCCTACAGATTCAATGCAATCCCTATCAAATTACCAAAGACATTTTTCACAGAACTAGAAAAAAATTTTTCAATTTTTATGGAATCACGAAAGACCCCCGAACAGCCAAAGCAATCTTACGAAAGAAAAACAGAGCTGGAGGAATCAGGCTCCCTGACTTCAGACTATACTACAAAGCTACAGTAATCAAAACAGCATGGTTCTAACAAAAAAAACAGAAATGTAAGAAAAGATACTATGGAATTCCTAGAGGAAAGCATAAATCATAGCAGTATTTTTTTGGATCTGTCTCCTAAGGCAAAGAAAACAAAAGCAAAAATAAACCAACAGGGCCTAATTAAACTTAAAAGTTTTGCAGAGCAAAGAAAACCATTAAAAAAACGAAAAGACAACCTACAGAATGGGAGAAAATATTTGCAAATTATGCAACTGACAAGACATTAATCTCCAAATAGTTCACACAAATAGTTCATAGAGCTCAATATAAAAAAAAAAGAACCCAATCGAAAAATGGGCAGAAGATCTAAATAGACATTTCTCCAAAGAAAACATACAGATGGCCAAGAGGCACATGAAAAGATGCTCAACATCACTAATTATTAGAGAAATGCAAATCAAAACTACAATGAAGTATCACCTCACCAGTCAGAATGGCCATCATCAAAAAGTCTACAAATAATAAATGCTGGAGAGGGTGTGAAGAAAAAGGAACCCTCCTACACTGTTGGTGGGAATGTAAACTGGTGCATCTCCTATGGAAAACAACACGGAGCTTCCTTAAAAAACTAAAAATAGAGCTATCATATGATCCTACATTCCCACTCCTGGGCATGTATCCAGAGAAAACCGTAATTTGAAAGGGTACATGCACTTCACTGTTCATTGCAGCACTATTTACAATAGCCAAGACATGGAAGCAACATAAATGTCCATCAACAGATGAATGGATAAAGAAAGGAGATGTGGTATATTCATACATGGAATATTATTCAGCCATAAGAAAGAATGAAATAATACCATTTCAGCAACATGGATGGACCTACAGATTATCATACTAAGTGAAGTAAATCAGAGAAAGACAAATATCATATGATATTGCTTATATGTGGAATCTTAAAAAAAATGATACAAATGAACTTATATACAAAACAGAAACATAGAAAACAAACTTATGGTTACCAAAGGGGAAGGGTGGGAGGGATAAATTAGGAGCTTGAGATTAACATATACACACTACTATATATAAAGTAAGTAACCAAAAAGGACCTGCTGTATAGCCCAGAGAACTATACTCAATATTTTGTAATAACTTATAAGGAAAAAGAATCTGAAAAAAATAGATATATATGTATGTATAAATGAATCACTTTGTTATATACCTGAAACTAACACAGCATTGTAAATCAACTACACTTCAATTAAAAAAAAAAAAACAGTGAGAGAATAATGAAGCCAAAAATAAAAATAAATAAATAAATGTTAAACTACCCTCACGTTCCTGGAATAAATACAAGTGAATTGTAATGTATTTTACATATTTCTAGATTTGATTTGCTAATATTTTACATTAGAGTTCTTATTATATGAGAAATTGGTTTCCAATTTTCCTTACTAATAATGTCTGTAAAATTTTGGTATCAATACCTTGCTGTTCGTATTGAAAAGAATGCAAAGTGTTTCTACTTTGTCTCTCTTTTGGAAGAACAAAAAAGGCACTGACGAAAGAAATTGAAGATGACACAAACAGATGGAAAGATATAACCATGTTCTTGGATTGGAAAAATCAATATTGTTAAAATGACCATACTACCCAAAGCAATCTACAGATTCAAAGCAATCCCTATCAAATTACCAATGGCATTTTTTTCACAGTACTGGAACAAATAATTTTAGAATTTGTATGGAAACAAAAAAGACCCCAAACAGCCAAAGCTATCTTGAGAAAGAAAAACAGAGCTGGAGGTATCACACTCCCTGAATTCAGGATATATTACAAAGCTACAGTAATCAAAACAGTATGGGGGACTTCCCTGGTGGTGCAGTGGTTAAGAATCCACCTGCCAGTGCAGGGGACCACAAGTTCGAGCCCTGGTCTGGGAAGATCCCACATGCCGCAGAGCAACTAAGCCCATGCACCACAACTACTGAGACTGCACTCTAGAGCCTGCGAGCCACAACTACTGAGCCTGTGTGCCACAACTGCTGAAGCCCGTATGCCTAAAGCCTGTGCTCAGCAACAAGAGAAGCCACCACAGTGAGAAGCACACGCACCGCAGCGAAGAGTGGCCCCCACGTGCTGCAAATAGAGAAAGCCCATGCGCAGCAACAAAGACCCAACGCAGCCAAAAATAAATAAATAAATAAATAAAAACAGTATGGTACTGGCACAAAAACAGAAATACAGATCAATGATACAAGATAGAAAGCCCAGAAATAAACCCATGTACTTATGGTCAATTAATCTATGACAAAGGAGGCAAGAATATACAATGGAGAAAAGACAGTCTCTTCAATAAGTGGTGCTGGGAAAGCTGGATGGCTACATGTAAAGAATGAAATTAGAACATTCTCTAACACCATATACAAAAATAAACTCGAAATGGATTAAAGACCTAAATGTAAGACTGGATGCTGTAAAACTCCTAGAGGAAAACACAGGCAGGACACTCTTTGACAGAAATAGTAGCAATATTTTTTGGATCTGCCTCCTGAAACAAAAAAAAGCAAAAATAAACAAACAGGGACTAATTAAACTTAAAAGCTTTTGCTCAGCAAAGGAAACCATTGACAAAATGAAAAGACAACCTACAGAATGGGAGAAAATATTTGCAAATGATATGACCAATAGGGGTTAATATCCAAAACATATAAACAAGTCATACAATTCAACATCAAAAAAACAAACAATCTGATTAAAAAATAGGCAGAAGAACTGAATACACATTTTTCCAAAGAGGAAATGGAGATGACCAACAGGCACATGAAAAGATGCTCAACATCACTAATCATCAGGGAAATGCAAATCAAAACCACAATGAGGTATCACCTCACACCTCTCAGAATGGCCATCATTAAAAAGAACACAAATAACAAGTGTTGTCTAGGATGTGGAGAAAGGGGAACCCTCGTACACTGTTGGTGAGAACGTAAACTGGTGCAGCCACTGTGGAAAACAGTATGGAGGTTTCTCAAAAAACTAAAAATAGAGCTACCATATGATCTAGCGATCCCACTCCTGGGTATATATCCAAAAAACCCCAAAACATGAGGCCCAGTGTTTATAGCAGCATTATTTACAGCTTCCAAGATATGGAAGCAACCTAAATGTCCATCGACAGATGAAGGGATAAAGAAGATGTGGTGTATATACATACATATATATATATATATATACACACACACACACACACACACACACAATGGAATACAAGAATTAAATATTGCCATTTGCAGCAACATGGATGGACTTGGAGAGCATTTTGCTAAGTGAAATAAGTCAGAGAAAGACAAATACTATATGATATCACTTATATGTGGAATCTAAAAAAATATAACAAAAAGAAACACACTCACTGATATAGAGAACAAACTGGTGGTTACCAGTGGGGAGAGGGAAGGGAGGAGGGCAATATAGGGGGGAGGGGAGTAAGAAGTACAAACTATTAGGTGTAAAATAAGCTACAAGCATATACTGTACAACACAGCAAATATAGCCAATATTTTATAACTATAAATGGAGTATAACCTTTAAAAATTATGAATCACTATATTGTATGCCTATAACTTATATTGTACAGCAATTATACTTCCATAAAATTTTTAAAAAGTGACACTGCTAATTTGAAAATCCACGAAAAACTATAGAACTGAAAAATATAACTGAAATTTGGAACTCTATCTATGGGTTTAATAGCATATTAGGTGCAGCTAGAGATAGAATTAGTTAACTGGAGGGTGAGAATAAAACTGGGATGAAATACAAGGAAAGGGGAAGAGAGTGAGGAGGATGAACATGCATCCCGTTGGAGTCCTCAATGGGGGAAAGAATGAGGCAGAGGCAGCATTGGAAGAAAGATCATGGCTGAGAATTTCCCACAACTAATGGAAGACATCAGTCCACTCATCCCAGATCCAACATCAGCCAGAGACAGAGCCCCAGCCCTTTCCTGGGGACCTCCCTACACTTGAGTCTGGGTCTGCTGTACATCGGAGAGCCCCCAGTTCATCTGCGCCTCTCAACCCAGCCTCATTCTCCAGCTGCCAGTGACCCCCCGGGGAATGATGGGGTCAGAGAGCTTTGTAAAGACAAAAAGCTAGAGGGGCCTTAGAAGGCTGCGGCACCTGCTGTGTGCCCTTGAGTTTTCCGGCGGACAGAGGGCTGTGTGGTCCAGTCTCCAGACGCTTCTGAGTGGGGAAGGGAACCCTTGCCTCAGTCTTCCTTTTCTAAAGGCTGGGAAATAGATATTCCCTCCCCCAAGAAAAGCAGGGGGATTCCTTCCTTCTCCTAAGCTCCTCCCCCCCACATTTTGCCTCCAAAAAGGGCTTTTTGCCAAGCGGCGGACACCTGCCCTTGCGCTGACCTGACCTGTGCCCACACCGCACGCACTCACCTGTGTGGAGCTGGAGCCTGTCAGAGTCCTGACTGGGGCGTGATGAGCAGTGGATGGACGCAGCCGCCACCGATGGCAGGCACCTGACCTGCAGGCCCAGGAAGAAGGCCTCTGTGCAGCTCCGCAGGTGGTCCAGGAGCGCGCCGCCTGCCGGCCCCTCACTCAGATCTGGGGACGGAGCGGTGCCGTCAGGCCCCCTGCCCGCTCCTCGGAGCCCCCACCTGCCTGTGCCCAGCACCCTGGACACGGACCAAGGCTGGAAGCCAGGAGACCTGCGAGAAAGTGGCTGCAGTGTCCCCAGGGCAGCGGCTTGCCCAGGAGGTGATTAGAAATGCAGGTGCCCAGGCCCACCCCAGATCTCTGGAACCAGAACCCGCATTTTAACAAGATGAACTGTCAGCGGGGAGACAACATGGATGGTTTGGGAGTTTGGAAGCAGAGTCTACAGACAGAGATGGCCGACTGGCCGGGGGCAGTGGAACAGGAGGGGTGCCTGCAGGCCTCTGGTCCTCAGGGGCAGGAGGGCGGGTAATGAGCCTGCGTGCGGCAAGGTCTGCCTTGGCGTGCAGAGCCAATGGCCCGCCCGCTCACCCCCAGCACCTGGCCAGCAAGCCCTGGAGAGCCTGGCCGAGGCATCTCGGCCCTTGGTCCACGCACAGCCCCTCACACCTGGTGTCCCCAGTCTGAGCGCTGGAGGACCAGGCAGGAGCCCCCGAGTCCCCGCCAGGCCCTGCCAGTGTCTCCAAGTACAGCTTCAGGGTTAAGAGCAGGGCGCTGGGGTCAAATCCTGCCTCTGCCAATCACCAGCTCTGTGACTTCTCCTCCCAGCCTCAGTGTCCTAACCGATGAAGCGGGGTGACCCAGACCCCAGCACCCCGCACCACAGAGGAAGCAGCCAGTACAGTGCCTAGGACAGCGCTGGCTCCAACAGGGCAGGGCCAGGACGGCACAGGTGGACGAGGCGGCACCCGCGGGTAGAACAGGGCAGTGAGCTGCCCGAGGGGTCCCAAGGCCCTGGGCTTTCTGAACAGTGTGGAGCTGGGGTGAGGGGAGAGCTGAGCCTCACCCCCGAATCCCAAGCACACCAGCACATCCCCCTTCACATCAGGTCCTGCCTGGGGTCCGGGCACAGACATCCCCACCTCATGCTAGACCCAGGCCCGCGCCACCTGCCCCGGGGTGTCCTGATGGCCCAGGATGCCACCCTCCAGCTCATCGCCACTTGCTGCCCCACGGGCTGCGGGTGCCCATGCTGCCGGTACCCACGGGCTGCAGGTACCTATGGGCTGCAGGTAAATGTGCTTCCGAGCCAGGCCCTGCTTCCGGGGCGCCAGCGCAGCGTGGAAGGTCTCGAAGTCCTCGGGCGCCTCCGGGCGGCTGAGGAGCCAGTCGAAAGCCGAGTGGATGAGCAGCGTGCGGAAGAACGTCCTCCGGGGGTTGTAGGCCTCGGCCAGGAAGAGCCGCTCGGCTGGGGAGAAGGTGGACGCGTAGAGCTGCCGCAGGGCCGGGTCGGTGGACAGCAGCGCATCCTTCAGGGCCCGGGGGCCGAAGCTGAACTCCTGGGCCGGCCGGCACTGCAGCATGACGGGCCTGGCCACGCTGGGGAGGCCCCACGGCCGCCCATGCACTGCCCAGAGCCTGGCCACCAGCTCGTCCACGGCCTTCCCTCGGGCCGAGCGCAGCGGCCACGTGGGCTCCCGGCACGTGGACCAGAGGCCGAGGGCCTGCGAGGCCCAGCTCCGCCTGGCGTCGGACCTCCTTGGCAGCAGCAAGCGGCTCGGACACCCTCCGGCCCGTCGGCACCTGCGGGGAGACGCCCGGCTGAGCCTCCGGCCGTTCTCAGGCCCGGGGAAGGGGCTCTGTGGGGAGGAACGCACCCTCCAGGACACGGCACCTGCACCCAGCCAGGCCAGGAACGCCGTTTTCTCCTCTTCTCGGGGGCCGGGTCTTTAACCAGCACCGAGTGTGGGGAAGCACCCTCCCTCCCCCGAAGCAGGGATGCGGTTTCCATGGGACCCTGGCGAGGACAGCGCGGACTCGCCCCTTCCCAGCCCTCAGGAGGGAGGGCGCGCTGGCAGTGAGACCCCCCACCCTTGTGCTGAGCACTCACAGAGCCAGAGGCCCCTCCACCGGGAAACCAGCCACCCCGAGCCCCCTGTGGTCACCCCACCGCCTGGGCCACCTCAGCACCTGCAGCCACCGGCTTTCCCAGCAAGGGCCCCGTGGGCCTGCGGATGAAGCCGCGCTGCCCGAGTCCGCGTGGCCAGGCCAGCCAGGGGCTGGACAAGTGTCTGTGGGGAAGGAAAGCAAGCCCCACAGTGCCGGCTGCAGAAGTTTCCTAGCACAGGCGAGGGGCAGGCACATGTGCCGACCACGGAAGCGTCACTAGGGAGACGTGGGGAAGCAACAAAGGGGGAGGCCAGGCAGGGAGGGCAGACGCGGTGGGGCGGGGGGACAGATGGGCGGGGAGAACGGTGACAATGTCACTTCACAAAGTGGGGTTTTCCTCCCGACGCAGGAGCAGGGTCTGGCTGGCGCATCGCATCCCGGGTTCATCAGAAACAACGCGCCCTCCCACCGCACACCCTGAAAAGCTACCGGGAGGGGATTGGCTGCTGTGGGCTTGACCGTGTCTCGGAGGGGGAGGCGACGGAAGGAACAAGCCAGAGAAGAGAAGATGCACAAAGTAACAGATCGGGACCAAGGAGAACAGCGCTCCGGCGGGTCCCTGATTTAGAAAGTCAGGCAGACGCGCAAACCCGTCTCTGCAGAACACAAAGTCGCGAGGCCGGGAGCGGCCGAACTGGAGAAACAGGAACGGCCTTGTTTTTGTGGGAAGAATAAAGACACGAGGCTGTACTCCCTTTAACTAACCTCAGTTCAAAATGTTCATCCAGAAAATAAAGGCATATATGTGTGTGTGTGTGCATATATGTACACGTAGACATATACACGTATATTCATAAGGGGGGCGATTGGGTGCATGTATAATTTATAAATCTTCCTCCAGAAAATTATACACACGTGATGTTTTTCCAGGGATATTATGTACATACACACATACATACACACATGGGTGTGTCTTTTCAGTTAATTGCTGGCTTAGATGAAGGGCAAGGAGCCAGGATTGAACACCTACTGAGATTCCTGCCAGCAGAGAGCTTTAAGCATTTCTGGCTGCATATATACTTCACCGATTTACAACCAATTGTGTGCGCAATCTTACATCCTCTTGACTTGGTATATTACGAGTGCTTTCCCAAATCCTTAAACAGTCTATTAAAAAATGCCATTTTTAATGGCTGGACAAAAACGCCACAGTGAACATCTTCGCATATGGCTCTGTGTTTCCATTTCCTCAGGAGAGATTCCCAGAAGATACTGTGTGTGGATGTTTAAAGAATCTCAATTTGAAGGGATTTCCCTGGTGTCCAGTGGCTAAGACTCTGCGCTGCCAATGCAGGGGGCGCAGGTTCGATCCCTGGTTGGGGAACTGAGATCCCACAGGCTACACAGCACAGCCAAAAGATTAAAAAAAAAAAAAAAAATCTCGGTTTGTATAGCCAAATTGTGATTTGTATAAATTGTGCTTTTGTGCAAAAGCGATTTGTATTTGCTTTCCAGAAAGGCCACACCAAGCGGCAACCCCACAGCGCCCCGGATTTCTAAGTAGTCAGCAGCAAATAAAAACAGTCACCAAGAGCACTGAATACCCCGCTGATTCCAGGCGGGGCTCTAACACCCAGGGAGGCGGGACGGTTATTCTCATTTTCAAGAGGGTGAAACTGAGGCAGAGAGTAAGGTTAAAACTAGCTTAATCAGAGCCACACAGCACCTAAGAATCAGAGGTGGGCTTGGAACACACCGATTGTCAAGGAGCCCCGTGTCCATCCACCTTCTCAGGACCCCTGCCCAGACCCCCGTCCCTGCCGCCAGACGCTAGGGCGAAACTGACAGGCTGCAGTGGGATGGACAACCTGCTCCTGGGCTGTCGGGAAGAACGCCAGCCACTTGAGAAGCACATCACAGGCCGAGCACGGAAGGGCCGCGGCGGCGAATTCTCCAGGAGCCCAGACCGTGTGCCAGGAGGCCCCAGTGAGGACTGTGCGACCAGAAGGACATGGTCAACATTTCCAAGGGGGGCGGGTGGGCAGGGTCCCGGCGCAGGAGCCCCTGTGGCTCCCTTCCTTCCCCGCCCCGACAGTCACCGGGTCCCTGGCCTCGCGGAGCTGGAATGCTAGAGATTTGGGCGGACCATAAAAGGCAAGAAAAATACGTATTGTCTCATGTGTTAGGTGATTAATGGTCCCTGAAGAGGAGAAGGCCGATCAGGGCATGGGGTCAGGAGGGCCAGGGCTGCACAGCCTTTTTCCAGAGGGTGACCAGAGCAGCTTCACTGAGAAGCTGGGCAGACTGGCAGGAGGGAGCCGGGCAGGGGGGCTGCCGAGTGGAGGGGCATGTGCAAGGGCCCCGCTGCACACACACAGCGCACACAGGCGGGTGCAGGGGCAGCGGGGAGGCCGGCGTGGTTCTGGGCGGGGGAGGGGGGAGAGGGAGGGAGGGAGGCAGGGCCACGTCGTACAGCCTCCAAGCCGTGTGTTCCCCGAGCTCTGGCCTTCCCCACCCCCGGGGCGAGGAGAAGGGGCTGACATGAGCAGCGTGAGGCTGCAAGCCGGGCTCTAGGAGCTCCCCCCCCACCCCCGGTGGCCTGGATGTGAAGGCAGACCCTCCAGGAAGCTTCAGGCGTGCCTCGTGGGCCACAGGGACCCGGGCGCTCAGGCAACCCTGAGGAGGGAGCGCCCTGAAGGCCAGCCGGGGCTCTGACCTGCACTTGGCCCTGTGCCCTTCAATCCCCCGGGCCTCAGCCCGCTTCCACCTGTCTCCCTTGCCCTGAGCGAGGCTGGACCCAGCAGAGAGGAGGTGCTAGCTACAGTCCAAGGTCCGCCCTGAGCCCCGGGAGCGGCCTTGAGCGCCAACACCGACACCGTGGGCATCTCACCAACTTATTTTTGTTTCGAAATGCAGCCCACGGGACCCCGGTACCTGCTCTGGGCTCTCTCTCCCCAGACCCTCCGCTCACAGCACCCTCCCACAGCGAGCTGGAGGCTTCTCGTACCGCTACAGCATTCCCTGCTGTCACAGCCAGCTCAGAATTATTCTTTCTGTAATTGGGAGTGGCCTGTAAATTGCTCCTCTGGGGCCGCGGGGGCCTTCCAGACGCCCAGGAGGTCTGTGTCACAGCTTTGCTAAGGAGGTGAGAGTGAGACAGACACCGATGTCCGAGGACATCCCTCCTCACAGGTCCACCATCTTGACCCAGCACCTCCTCTGAACCCACAACTTCCTGAAACACAGCTGTTAGCATCCGCATGTCTTATAGGCAAGGCCATGGAGGCTCAGAGAGGCGAGGCCACTTGCCCAGGGTTGCACAGCTCACCAGGATTCAGACACAGTACTCCTGACTCCCGACAGAGAAGTAAGGCAGACGATAAAAGGCAATAAAAATAAATATTGTCTAGTGTCACTCTGGGCCTCATGTGCAGGACCTTCTCCCACCCCCGAAGAGTCTTTCCTGCCAGCACCCACTGTCCCTTACCACCCACTGACCCCGCTCAGGGCCTTCACTGCCAGCAAACACCTCAAAGCCAGGCAAAGCCTTGGGAAACGAAAAATGCCTACTTTTTACCAAAAGTTCCAGGGCCCTGGCACGTCCATCCCAGGAGTGACTTGGGCCCAAACTGTAAACCTCAGATGGCCCAGAACTGGCCAGGTGCCTCTGGTCCTGTGCGCCACAGGGACCCGAGGCACAAGCGGTGTTTCCAAGGAGGCCGCAAGCATGTCCACCTTAGGGCCCGTCTGCACCGTTATGAGCCGTGTGGGATCCTAAGAGCTTTGGTTCATGCGGTTACATCGATCATATGCCACGTCTGAACTTAAAAACGAGAGCTGTGTGCAACACAAGGACACAAAGCACCGCCTCCACCAGCAGCGCCCACCTGACGCCACGGCTCGGTACTGCTGTGAGCGCTGCTGTGACCTGAGTGAGGGTCCCCGGAACACACCTGGAGAACCACCGTTTCACTCTGACGTCTCCCCCCGGGACAGCTGATTGCAGGCCCGCAGGGCCGTGTTGAGCACGTGTGTGTCTGCAGCATCCAGTGGGAAAGACGGGCCTGGTGTGAGGCAGGGACGCCCGGAGCACCTGCCCCGGTGCAGAGCCTCTGGCCTAACAGCCAAGCAGAAGCCCAAAGAGCTCGGAGGAAGTGGCCACCTTGGCCCCGGACCGGCGCGGGCTGGCGGGTCAAGGGGAGGCTCCAGGTTGGGCCCCAGGGTGTGTGACAGGTGTGTCCTGTCCATCCGCATGGGTTCCACTCTCTCCGGGGTCCAGCCATCTGTCTGCCCAGATAGCATTTCCTCTCAAGACGCCCGGGCGGCCACACTCTCTTCCTGGGTCACTCAGGGAAACCTTGACCCTTCGGTCCTGCCAGGTCATTTCTGCACAAGACCACCCCTCGTGCAGAAGCAGAAGCTGGACGTGGGCAGAGACCGAGGCTGAGCCCCAGGCCAGGGGGTGCCGAGCGAGGGAGCCGCAGCCAGAGCAGGGCCTTCCCGGCCCTCTCCGCGACCCGCCAGCCCGCTAATCTTGGCAACAATGAACGCTCTCCTCTGCCCATAACGTGGGGCAGCAGCTGCGGAGCACTGGACGCTGGCCTCGCACCTGAGCCCTGCAGGCATCATCTCATTCAAGCCACACAACCCTGTGCCGCTGCAGGTGCTATTAACAGCTCCCATGTCTCAGATGGGGAAACCGAGGCCAGGTCCAATCTCAGAGCCATGCCTCACACTGGAGCCAGAACTCTTAAAGTGCCAGTGGGCTTCCAGAAGCAGAGAAGGTCTCACCGTCAGTACACGGTGGGATGTCTCTGCCCTGCCCCTGTTAACACTGGGACCGCGGCCAAATTTTTCAGCCCGCCTCCCCTCTCCCTGAGGCGCCCACGTCCCCCTCACCTGTCCACTGTCCTGCCCAGAGGCCAGGGAAGGGCGTGTTCTGGTACAGGCCGCTTCCACTCCCATGGGAGGGCCTGCTGCAGGAAGGGCAGGCGGCCGCAGACCCCTCAGCCCGGGCACCTGCTTCCCAATCCGACTGGACAGATGCCTCAGACTTTGGCAAGAAAGCACTGCTCTGGTTCTTGTTATTCTGAATACGCTTCACAAAACATCCCGGCAGCTGCCTCGAGCTATTCACTACTGTCTGCCTTCTGAACAGCCCCACGCAGGAGGGATGTAAAGGGTTTGTGGCTTCACACTTCTCCGAGGTTTCCATCTGCTCAGAGGGGAACCGAGGGCGGCGATCACGGGGAGAGGGTCTCCGCGTCAGACCCCTGCTTCCTGTTGCAGGGCCCTCACCTCCCTGCCCTGGCTGCACCCTGACAGTTTCCTTTCCCACGACAGGCAGCGGAGGACCCAGCCTTCCCCTCTGACCCTGGCAGCATTCTCAAGTTTGGCACCGCTGTGGAAGCCCACACCCTGCTTTTCTGAGCTGGAGGTGTTCCTGGGAAACAGGAAGACAGCACTGGGCCGGCTTCTCCACCAATACCTAGGTGGTCATGTGGCCCCCTTCCCCGCATCCCCAGGCTCTCTGGGGGCGTTCCATGCCCACCTGGACCGGCCAGGAAGTGCACTCTTCCCGTGCCTGGCCCTGGGCTCTCCCACAGCCTGTTTGCTCCCATCGCCAGGACGCAAAACAGGTCGCCCTCCCGTGGGGAGCAGAAGGCCAGGAGGGGTCCCCGAGCCCCTTCCCTCGCCCGGCTCCCCTCTGCGGGCCCAGGCCGGGAAGTCTCGACTCTGGCGCGGAGCACAGAGCGCGGCACTGCACCAAACACCCCTCGGCACACCGGTCCCCGACACCCCACCTCCCGCTCCAGCGCGCCCTCCGTGTCCGCGCGCACCCCGCGCCCGAGCGCGCCTGCCGCCGCCAGGGCGTCCTCGGGGCTTGCGCGGCTGGACTCGGCGCTGCGGCGCGGCCAAGGCGTCCCGACCCGGGCCCTGCGCCCCGCTCGGTTCGGGGCACCGGCGTCGTCCCACCCAGCCCGCCGGTCTCCTCTCGGTCCCCGCCCTGGGTCCCGCGCCCCTCGGCCTCCCCGCCGCACCCCTACCTCGCAGCCCCGGTCCTCCTCGCCGCGCGCCCGGGTCCTCCCCCTCACCCTCCGTCCTGCGGGCCGCGCACTCCGGTTCCTCCCCACCGTGCGCCCCCCCGTCCTCCCCGCTGCGCCCCTACCTCGCAGTTTGCGCCCTCGGGAGCCGGCAGAGGCGGTGCCAGGCGGGGGGGCAGCGTGGGCACGTGGCGTGGGCCACGGAAATCGGGGAGGTCTCCGCGTGACGTCAGCACCGAGGGGCCGGGACCGAGGCGGGACCCGGTGGAAAGTGTAACGCGCCGCCTGGCCGTGGGCGCCACACCCCCTCCTGCTGCTATGGGTGCATCACGCGCGGGCCACCAGTGGGCAGAGTGCTGGCAGGAGTCGCCGGTCCTCAGACATGAGCTCTGACCTCTGCCGACTCCTTGTAAAGCGCGCTGGCGACGCCCCTGACCCTCCCAGAAACACCTGGGGTAGAGGCGGGGCCTGAGACGCTAAAGCCAAAGCAGGTGAGAGAGGGAAAGCGGCGCTGCCCAGGTGAGAGAGGGAAAGCGGCGCTGCCCAGCTAAGGGCCTCAGGTCATACAGGTAAACGAGAGCTGCCCAGGAAAGGGGCTGGCATCGGGGTCACCTCAGCACTGTGCGGGCACGGCTCCAGCACATGACACACAGCCCAGCCCTGTCGTCACTGGTTCCCCCGGAACTTCCCCTGCATTTGGCGGCCTCCCTATTAAGATGTAGTAATGATCTTCTTAGAAGCGTTTCTACGCCAGGCGCAGTATACTAAATGCTTTACACGTGCTACCTCAAGTCTGGGAGGTAACTGTCCTTTCTGTCCCCATTTCACAGATGAATCTCTGAGGAGGCAGGGGAAGTGACAGGCCCGTGCAGACGGCAGGGCCGGGGCTGAGGACCCCCAGCGCCGGTGAGGGCGGGGGCCCAGCGCCTGGCCAGGGGAGCAGCACGGGCTCTGTGCTCGGCACACGCTTGCAGCACGAACGCCGTGGGTCCTCAGAGAGGGTCCAGGCGGCCTTTATCCCCAGAGATGAAAGGCGGGCAGCCCTTGTCCAGGGAGCTCCTACCACACGCTGTCTCTGGGTCCCCGTGTCCCCTGAGAAGGGCCCTGTGCTCCTGCCACCACGTTGCAAGGCCATCAGCCTGTGGCCCGCCTGCCGTGTCTCCCGCCTCGAAGTCAGGATTTCGCTGTGCAGCTCCCGGGGGGCCGGCACGGCCGCGGGGACATCCCCACGTGGGGATGCTGCTGCTGACGGAGCTGCTGACGTCAGCTGCTGCTGACGGAGGTGGAGGCGTTTGGCCCTCCGAGCCGCACCGTGCTCCTTTAGAGCAGCGTCCGTCAGCTGCTGAGATACAGAGGGACGTGCCTGGGCCCTAGGGGGCTCGGCGGCCTCCGTGCTTTTCATCGTTCTCCTCAGGCCGCCGAGCGAGGGCAGGGGCAGCTGCTCAGGGTTCCCTCCTTCCTCCTCTCCACAGCTCAGCGCGGGGACCCACAGTGCACGGGGCCCTGTCCTGTGTCCTCACTCCTGACAGAGCATGCGGTTCAGGCCACAGGCCCCGTGGCCTTTCCTGCACCCCCTGCATGGCTCCCCTTTCATCGGCACAGAGCCCAGGACCCCAGTGCAGAGGGGGAAGGTCTAGAAGGCAGGGTTGCGGGGGCTTCCTGAGAGCTGGAAGCTGCCCGAGTCTCTGTGACCCTGAGTGCCTTTCAGGGGGTTTCTGCTGTGCACTGCCCCCAGAAAACCTTGCCCGAGGACAGTCCTGTCTGGGAGGATTTTGCAAGGACTTCCCAGCAGCCCAGGGAGGTGTAAGAAGCATCCGGGGCCACAGAGTCAGCGGTCAAACATCTGGGCTCTGGCTCAGCTACTCAAGCTGCTGGACCAGGAAAAGTCACCCCCCGTCTTTGAGCTGTTTGCTCACAAGGTGTCAGTGATCCCTGTGGTGTCTGTGGAACCGGGGGGAGAGGTGGGGGGGACCATGTTGGTCCCCATCTGACTGACACTCAGCCGCTCTCAGGCCACCTGCCCTGGAAGCGTTGGTCTGGGGAGCCCCGAAAGAGCCCCAGAATGCCTCCAGGCTGCCCATCCCAGAGGGAAGTGGGCAGTGCTCCAGCCATGAGTCACCTTGTCCCCTCCCGGGCTCTGGCCTGGTCCCACAGCAGAGAAGGCCTGGCCCCGGCACCGCCCACCCTCCCCCCAACCCCGCCTCCCCCGTCGAGCTTCCCTAAGCAAGGGAGACTAGACAGCCTGCTGCTCCCTCCCCAGCCCCAGGGTCATCAGGCCTTCCTGACAGTGCACTGATGTCCCGAGACGTGCAGGTGGGCCGGCCGTTACAGGCAGATACACAGAGCAGAGTGAGGGTCCCATCACCCACACAAGCTGAGCCGCGTGTTTCACCCCTGGTTTCCTCCCATCTGTGAGACCCAGGCAGACGGCTGTTAATTCAACAGCTGCTATTCTGGGTCCCGACTCTCCACTGGGCTCCAGGTTAGGACCAAGGAGGCGCAGTGAACAGGTGAGGTGGGGGACAGGCACCCCATGTCACGCCAGGGTCCCCTGCGTGGCCGGGAAGAATCTCCCGCCTCCTGGAGAAGCTTCCCCTGCACTCTGGGAGGTGAGGAACTGCCTGCCCGGCTTCCGTGAGGTCTCTGTCCCACTAGGGTCCTGTCTTGGGGGACAGGGCAGAGGGAGAGTCAGCCAGAGGGAGGGAGGGCTCAGTTCTCAGGACGTGCACCTTGAGTGAGGGCCACCATTTGTCCCATCTCCAGGTCACGGTGGCTGGCCAGCATACTCCTGTCCAGTCCCCACAGCCAGCGGGATGAGGACGGTGCCCCTCCGCCCGGTGCCACGTGGAACCCCAAGGCGGGAGAGGACCCCCAGCACAGGGAGGAGCCCGGCCCTGAAGGCCGGCATTATCGCTCCGGCCCCAACGGGGAGACTTCCTCCAGCTGCCCTTTGCCTCTTTGGAACCCTTTATGATAAGGGCTTCCTTTGAGCCGAATGCTACCCCAGCTCTGGGCTGCCAGCTTCCAGGCCTTCCCGGCAGGGCCGCCCACCCCTGCCTGCCCAGCCTCATTCAGGAGAAATGCCCCCACGGATGGCTGAGGGATGTGTCACCGTCATCCCTGGCACTGCAAGGGAATTCTGTTTAAGCCTTAAGAAATGATGCTACAACAATAGATGTCCATTGTAGAAGATTTGGAAAATTCTAAAAAACTTAAAAAAAAAGAAAGATCCCATAATCCAACCATCAGGAGGTCACCTCTCTGCCTTTTTGTCAGACATCCTTCAAATAATTTTTCTCTCAACATGTAAATACAGTATTCTGTTCTGCCGGAGGCTTTGTCACATGACACCCTTCCCGGTCAATAGCCCAGAACTGGCGTCCTCATTGTGCTGTCTGCACTGTTTTGTTTCATGGAGGATTCACCTGGCTTGTGACATTTTGGGTTTTCCCAGTTTCTCACTATTTTACATGATATATATTATAAAAAATAATATATATATATTATGTAAAATAATGTATATATATAATATAAATAGTATATCTATATCTATATCACTGTGATAATCTTGTTTTCATAAATCTTCGTTACACAGGTTTCTGATTTTCCCCCCTTAGGATAAATTCCTGCAGATTGTGGATCACAAGCCTACACTTTTTTTTTTTTTTTTTTGCGTTAAGCGTGCCTCTCACTGCTGTGGCCTCTCCCATTGCGGAGCACAGGCTCCAGACGCGCAGGCTCAGCGGCCGTGGCTCACGGGCCCAGCTGCTCCGCGGCCTGTGGGATCTTCCCGGACCAGGGCACGAACCCGTGTCCCCTGCCTCGGCAGGCGGACTCTCAACCACTGCGCCACCAGGGAAGCCCAGGCCTACACTTTTAACACGTGTAGCTACCAGGATTTTCCGATTTATTACTGTGGGGGACCGAGAGCTCGGAACCTGAGAAATGCTTGGTGTTCTGTCCCGAAACTGGTTATTACACAGAAGGCGTGGGATACCCACCTCCCCACCTGCCCCATCCCTGGTGTGGCCAGGAAGAGACAGGAACTGGAAGAGTAATTACCTATCAAGCCTGGGGTGACATCTCCTTTCAGCTGCCCAGTTAGCACATGAAGTTGGAAATCCAGGCGAGCCCCCTGTTCACCCAGAAGGATCCTTGCCCTAAGTTGGGGGATGCCTAGTGCCAGGGCCCCCAGAAAGGAGAGGCGGCCTACGGACCCAGCCCAGGGCCAGATGAGGCTTCAGGCAGCCAGTGGCCAGGCAGTCCATCCCCTGCACACGGGACACGTGCATCTCAGACCCCAGACCTCTCTAGTGAAGCCACCTCGCTACAGCCAGCTCTAGAAATGGGCAGTGATACGGGGCCTCCTGTCCCTTCAGCCCAATGAGAAGGTGCCGCACCCCATTGCACCTCAGTTTCCCCGCAGTTGAACAGAGGCCCCCAAAAGATGTGCCCACCCAGGCCCCCAGAATGGGATCTTATTTGGAATAAAGGTCTTTGCAGATGTAATTACGGTAAGAACCTCAAGATGAGATCATCCTGGCCTGTGGCGGGCCCTAAATCCAATGGCGGACAACAGTGAGGTTCCACCTCTCACAGGTCAGAACAGCCATCATCAGAAAGGCTACAAATAATAAATGCTGGGGAGGGTGTGGGGAAAGGGGAAACCTCCTGCACTGTGGGTGGGAATGTAAATTGGTGCAACCATTATGGAGAATAGCATGGAGGTTCCTCAGAAAACTAAAAATAGAGCTGCCGTATGATCCTGCAATCCCACTCCCAGGCATATATTCAGACAAAACTGTAATTCGAAAAGATACATGCACCCCTATGTTCATAGCAGCACTATTCACAATAGTCAAGATGTGGAAACAACCTAAATGTCCATCGACAGATAAGTGGATAAAGAAGATATGTGTATATACATACACCATGGAATATTACTCAGCCATTAAAAAAACGAAATAATGCCATTTGCAGCAACATGGATGGACCTAGAGATTATCATACTAGGCGAAGTAAGTCAGAAAGAGAAAGACAAATACCATATGATATCACTTATATGTGGAATCTAAAATAAGACACAAATGAACCTATCTACAAAACAGACTCACAAATACAGAGAACAGACTTGTGGTTGCCATGGGGGAGGGAGGTGGGGGAGGATTGGGAGTTTGGGATTAGCAGATGCAAACTAGTACATATAGGATGAGTAAACAACCAGGTCCTACTGTACAGCTCAGGGAACTATATTCAATGTCCTGTAATAAACCATAATGGAAACGAATATGAAAAAGAATATATATATGTATAACTGACTAGGCTATACAGCAGAAATTAACACAGCATTGTAAATCAAGTTCAATTCAATAAAATGTGTTTTAAAAGATAAAAGTTTAAATATAAATAAATCCAGTCGGGGGGGCATCCTAAGAGACAGAAGAGGAGAGACACAGAGGGAGGAAAGCCAGGTGACACCAGAGGCAGACGTGGAGGATGTGGCCACAAGCCAAGAGACCCCAGAGCCACCCGAAGCTGAAAGAGGCAGGAAGGATCCTCCCTGGAACCTCTGGAAGGAGGGTGGCCCTGCCAACACCTTGATTTTGGACTTCCAGCCTCTAGAAATTTATTTAAGAAAATTAATTTCTGTTGTTTTAAGCTCCTCCCCTCCCCTGCCGCTCCGTTTACTGTCATTTGTTACGGCAGCCTCAGGAATCTAATGCAAGTTGGAAAATAAGAAAATGCTTCATATGGTTGTTATACGGGTCAGGAAAACATCCAGAATGTTGTCAGCACTCGGTAGGTCCTCAGAACACGGCAGCCACTCATCCAGCCAACACTTAGACACCCGCCGTGTGCCAGGTGCTGTGCTCGGGGGACACGGCGCTTCCCTTCTGTCCACGGGTGGCAGACAAGGGGGAGAACAGACATCGCGTGCGGGCAGAGGAGGAAGGAGGGGCTGAGGGGCTCGTGCCATGTGAGATGGGCAAGATAAGCTGAGCTGCGGTCTCCGGGCAGAGGTAGGGGTCCTGCCGGCCAGAAGGGACAGCATGGGCAGAGGCCTGGACGTCAGGGTGGGCAGGGCCTGTGGGGAGTGGAGTCGTCGGTGGTCAGGTGTCAGGAGTGCAGGGCTCCATGCAGCAGGGCTATCTGGGTGAGGTGAGAGCTGGGGAGGGGGCGGGTCAGGGAACCGGAACAAGGCCAAGGGGGCCCAGATGG